CAACCTAGTAGTTTGAAAACATGCAAGTGTGAGTAGATCAATAGGTACCGCTTTGGTGGGAAGGTAATGGCACTCTGTGCAGTCATGCCGGCCACATGATCTTGGAGGTGTCTATGGACAACGGCGGCTCTTCAGCTTAGAAATGGAGATGAACACCAACCCACAGAGTTAGACATGACTGGACTTAAATGTCAGGGAAAAACCTTTACTTTTACCTTTTTACAGCCCAGTCTGTCTAAATGGGGATGAAAATACCCCAGTGTTAAAAATCATACACACATGTGCTTAATTAATTCCACGTTTGGTCTAAAATACAAATTACTCTTGGAAACTATTTTATTCCATAATTACAACATAATTGCTTAGTTAAGTCATCTAGTTATGAGGGAAACTTGGAAGGAGGCAATAATCTTTGCAAAATTGTAGTTATATACTGGAAGGATATTAGAGAAGTACTTTGGCCACATCATGAGGAGACAGGAAAGCTTAGAGAAGACAATGATGCTGGGGAAAATGGAAGGTAAAAGGAAGAGGGGCCGACCAAGGGCAAGATGGATGGATGGCATCCTTGAAGTGACTGGCTTGACTCTGAAGGAGCTGGGGGTGGTGACGGATGACAGGGAGCTCTGGTGTGGGCTGGTCCATGAGGTCACAAAGAGTCGGAAACGACTGAAAGAATGAACAACAACTGGACTCAGCATACAGACTCCTCATCTGTCCAAGTAAGCTATTGTACTATAACCATGAAAGCAGAGGAAGAGAACAGTAGGATGAATGAGAAATAGGATTTTAAAAAACTCATGGAGCTGACAAGGGGAACAAGAGGTCGGAGAATAAAATAATGGCCAACGATTTCCAGCTTCATTTGTACATACATTTTAATAGGAATTTAACATAAGCATAATGAGCAGTTAACCTTCAAATAAAAGCTCAATTGGATACATTTTTAGCTTCCTAACAACTAAATTCATACTCGCTTGGCAAAAAAGACCCCCGTGCTGTCTGAAGGACATTTGGGGGTATTTTGAGACACACCCTTTTCCATTCCTGTGGGAGCTGTTCAGCAGTGGAACTCTCTGCCCCGGAGTGTGGTGGAGGCTCTTTCTTTGGAGGCTTTTAAACAGAGGCTGGGTGGGCATCTGTCGGGGGTGCTTTGAATGTGATTTTCCTGCTTCTTGGCAGGGGGTTGGACTGGATGGCCCATGAGGTCTCTTCCAACTTTAGGATTCTATGATTCAGGAGGGGCCACGCATTACGCACAATTTGTAAAGTATATTTTCCTTTTACAATAGAAGATAAATAAACCTATGCACATAGGGTATATGATGTGCAGAATTTGAAAACCGTATTCTTACATTTTGGATTTGATTATGCAGTGTGTTGAAGGTTGGTTCTATTTGATTTTCAGAGGGCCTCTGCTCTTCAGTATGTTTAAAAAACCCGACTTCATACTCACTTCACAGATGTGATCAGTAGCATAACAGCTATGTAAAAAAGCTATGCGGCCATGCCCCCCTGAGTGGCAGAAGTACCATTCACATACGCAATTGCCCATTCCATTCCAGCAAGTTCCTTTGTTCTTTCCAGTGTATTGCGAAAGCTGGCGGTGGAGCTGGGGGCCTGCCATGGGGAGCAAGCAGCCTCTTCAAGGGGCTACGACATGTCATGGTCTGCCTTAACTGAAATGAAAATCAGATATCAAGGTCAAGCCAGGTCAAATAGACAATGAGTCATGGCAATTAAAGGCAGCTTCCATGTATTATTAAAAATCCAATTTGAAGCTCCTGTCTTTTAAAAGCCAAAGCAACAATTTATGAAGAAAATACTTTACCAGGTGCCAAACTATTACAAGTGTTGGATATCAACCAGAGCATAAAGCAGGCTGGGGATATCTGCGACACCAAAACGTACAATCCAAGCAGTTAAACAATACGAACGGCTTGTCTCTGACACAAAAATCCTTCCTTAACTTTCTTAACATGAGCATATTTACACTGTAGAAGGAACGTAGTTTGGCACCACTTTAACTGCTATGACTCAATGCAATGGAACCATGGGAGCTGTAGTTTTACAAGGTCTTCAGCCTTCTCTGCCAAAGAGTTTATTTATTTATTATTTATTTAAAACTTTTATATCCCGATCTTCTCACCTCCTTAGAGGGACTCAGACCGGCTTACAGCAAGGATTCAATGCTACTAATACAAGTTAAAACATCATACAACAATACAAGATTAAAATACATATAGATAAAATACAGATATACCAAATCGCCAAGGTACAATCATGTTCAACTCAGTCCGCATATGTGGTCACTCACTTTGGTCTGTAACCAGTCTCAGCCATTATTCTGGGACTGCTTTGTTCCATAACCAGGATTTCACTAGCCTCCTGAAGGACAAGAGGAAGGGGGCAGATCTAATCTCACTCGGGAGAGAGTTCCATAGCTGAGGGGCTACAACAGAGAAGGCCCCGTCTCTCGTTCCCACCAAACGCGCTTGCGAAGGTGGTGGGCCCGAGAGCAGGGCCTCTCCAGAAGATCTTAACATCCTTGATGGTTCATAGGGGAGAATACGTTCGGACAGGTAAACTGGGCCGGAACCGTATAGGGATTTATAGGTTAAAACCAGCACTTTGAATTGTGCTCGGAAGCTAATTGGCAACCAGTGGAGCTGGTGCAGCAAGGGAGTCATGCGCTCCCTGTACCCAGCTCCCGTTATAGCCTGGCTGCTGAGCGCTGGACTAATTGCAGCTTCCGGGCAGTCTTCAGAGGCAACCCCACACAGAGAGCTTCTGGTGCCTCACCAAACTACAACTTCCATTGCATGATTCCATAGCAAGGAACTATGGCAATCAAAGTGGTCTCAAACTGCATTATTCAACATGTAAATGCGGCTATGCTTTGGACCAAACAGACATTGGAATAGATCAACTGAACCCAGTGGTATAACTGGGGAAAAGATTTTCTCCATTCTAAACCATGTTCCTAAACTACCAACATAGTTTAGTGGCTTGGGAGTTGGACTTTGGGCACATCACACTCTATTTGGGAAACTTCCAATGAAGAAATCTTGCCAAGAAAACGCAATGAGAGTCACCATAAATCAGTCACCTTGAAAGGATAAAACGACCAACATCTCACACTATTGTCTTATACTGTCTTGGGCTGATGGGAGTTGCTGGTTGACAGCATTTGGATGACTATTTTGTCAGAAATATTAAAAATTAACAAGGTATATTTAACTACAAAAATGTGAATCAAGCACTGAAAGGGTCAAGTAGATGCAATGACTTAGCAAAAGCTGTAATTCTATATAAGCAGGTGTGCCTGTAGCTTGGTAGGTTTTAGTGTTAGTTTTCCTCAGTGTGAGAGAGGCATCAGTCTGAGTGAGCCCTCAGTGTTAGCAGCTCTGTCTGTGAGAGGTCTTTGTGGGAGAAGGGCCTCAGTATGTTCACAGGCCTCAGTATGGGAAGGCCTCGATATTAGTTCACCTTAGTATGCAAGAGGTGTCAATCTGAGAGAGCCCTCAGTGTGAGAGGGCCTCAGTGGGAGAAAGGCCCCAATGTGTTAGTAGGCCTCAGTTGAGAAGGCTTGGTGTGAGAAGCTTCGGTGAGAGAAGCTCCAGGTTGAAGGCCTCACATTTCTGTGTACGAACCCACACAATCTCTTCAATCATCTGGTGAGGCCCTGCTCGCGCTCCCATCTCCTTCGCAGGTGCGATTGGTGGGGACGAGGGAGAGGGCCTTCTCAGTGGTGGCCCCCCGACTCTGGAACTCACTTCCCAAGGATATCAGACATGCCCCAACTCTGGCAGTCTTTAAGAGGAGCCTGAAAACGGGGTTGTTCCGGTGTGCCTTCCCAGAATAAGGAAAACTCTCAGCAATATGCCCTCAAAATGCACTTTATCATTGATTTAGGACTGACTGTGTTCCCTCATTTATCTTTGAAAAAACCCTATCCCAGTTATATTCTACCTTGTTCATGCTCAGCATTATTTTTTAAATTTTAAATGATTACATTTGGCCCGGACATAGTTTTTTTTTTAAATGCTTGTGTGTTACTGTTATTGTTTATTTTTGCTTATGTGATTTATATTGTTTTGTATTGATTTTTTGTTATTGCTTTTGTTTACTGATGTATTGTGGGCTTGGCCTCATGTAAGCCGCACCGAGTCCCTTGGGGAGATGGTAGCGGGGTATAAACAAAGTATTATTATTATTATTATTATTATTATTATTATTATGCGAGAGCAAAGCTGTTTATAAGAGAAAGAAGCCCAGTGTGGAAGCACAGAAGGAAGTATAAAGAACTTTATTTGTGTTATGGAAACCTTGTTCTTGTAAATAGTACAACCATATTATTTTACTACAAAGAAAAGCCTCCTATGGAAGATATAATATTAGTCTGTGTTTTTGTTCTTTTTATCACTTTTGGCTACTGGTGTTGGGTCATGCTGCTGCTGCTTAGTTACTCTGCTGTGCATTTATGCAGAGGGGCTTTCATTAATAAGCTCACTCGCTCAACATATTTTCTTCTCTGAACTAGCCTGTTTTAAAAAGTCTTGATTTCAAGTTTCACCTCTACTAATAGTTAGTATTACTTGCAAATGATTCAGAAATTAGTTATTCTAAAAGTCAAATTAGGCAGGCTGCATTTACCTTTCAACTGGTAAGGGGACATAGGGTATGCAGAGCAAAGCAGGATGCAATCCTCCCTGGCAAACTCATCTTCCTTGCTCTCCGCCCTCTGGTTTGGCTATGATACTAACAGTGAACTGGACTGGATCCAAAATGCCTGAGGCAGTAGATCACAGGACAAAAAACTAAGGAAATGTTTTGTTTCCCTTTATTGTATGTATCCTTGTCTTTGGGCACAGGGATGGATATAAATATTTTAATAAAGTATTACATAAATTACCCCTGACTCTTTTTTCAAAACATAATGGACGTTACTCTTACACTTATTACAATTTTTTTCATTTGTTACAAATGACAGAATAAACTTTACTCTATAAAGTAATTTTAATTCAATCTCTATACAAATGGTGAGATGCAAAAATAAAACCAGCAAAAAAAATATTGTAAAGTCAGCACAGTGGCAAAGTAGATTCTGCACTTCCATCAGAACCGCAGCTGAAACTTAAGAGAAATCGTATGATGTCGCTGGTAATCTGAGTATTTTTTTAATACAACCCTGAAAGGGCTCATCAATTTTCTAATTATTGCACAAAAGTCAGTCTTCTTCACTGCAGGCTTCAGCAGTTTCCCAAACTTTCTCATCAGTAGCTTGAGAAGTTGGTGATGTTTGGGATACAGATGCCTCCTTGCTTTGAACTCCAGGACATTCGTTTTCTTGTGTTAACTGGTTGGGCAAACTAGGAGAGTTATGAGCTTCACTAGGCCGGTCTGCCAAAAGGTCTCCCACAGCTTGAGAAGTCTCTCCAGTTAAATTAGTCTGTGAGTGGAATCCAAAGATATCATTTTGGAGGATATAGCGAATGCACTGAAGAATTACATTTCTTTCATGCCGGATGTCCTTTGCTAGCAGCTAGGAAAAAGAAGAGAGAATATGAGAAACATTTGTGTTGGCATTTGGAGAATGATACAAACAGAACTGCATATCTAGTGGATTGGCTAAATACCAAAGGCTGGCAACTGCAGCATGGACACATTTTTGCCCTTACAAACCAGCTGTAGGTCACCCCATCTAATTTTTGGCCCTAAGCTGATACTAGAATAATTTCTGTTGCAACTTCAGGGCACTTTATGGAGGCAGTTTAATAAAATCCACTGGAAATTTCCAGGACTTAGAATCAATTTATTTTGGTTGGGTTTTTTTTCACAACATTCCAAAGCATATCCATCCAAATGGATTTTTTCCCCTATTTTTAAAAAAGTAACCACCTAGAACCCTCATCAGTTGAATGGCATTCCAGACCAGGGCTTCTTATTTTTTCCCCACTCATGATGCCTTTCCACCCAAGATTTTTTTTTTTTTACATGGCCCCCTGTATTCTTTGATTATGCTTTTCCTACATGGCAGGAGGTTGGACTGAATGGCACATATGGTCTCTTCATATTCTATGATTCTGTGAGTCTATGAATTACAATGCTCTAAAAATTTACATCCAGGTTTCTCAGGCTATTTGATGTAAGAAACTGTTCCATCCCTCCTCAAATGTGCCATGGAGCAGCACCATATCTGTGCCCATTGGCTCAAATAGTTTTGTAACCTGTTTCAGACAGTCAACTGATACATCAAACCCCTTCCCTGCCAGGCACCTCTTGAGATGTTGGCCCCAAAACACAAACTAAGGATGCAGAAGATTCTAGTTAAGATGGGAACGCTCATATGAAGCACAGAGATATCTTCAGGAGAGGCCCTTCTCTTGCTCCCACCTCCATCTCAAGCTCAGTTGGTGGGAATGAGAGAGCGGGCCTTCTAGGTGGCTGCGCCTGAACTCTGGAACGCCCTTTTTCCCAGGAAAGCCAGAACGGACACCTCCCCCTGCTGTCCTTCTGGTGGCAGGTAAAAACCTTTTTATTTAGGCAGGCTTTTAAAGAAGAAGGTTTTAATATCAGTTGGGGATGTTGTGGTTTTTAGCTTTGAATATGTTTTAATGATTTTGAACTGTGAATTTTTAAATACTGTTTATATTTAATTCTGTTTCAATGTTTGCATATTTGTATATTTTACATTATATGCTAATGTTTTTACGTTAAGCCACTTCAAGTTTCCTTCGGGAGAGATAAAAGCAGTATAAATAAATATAATAAACAAACAAACAATGTAAAAAGGATTGAAATATATAGCAGTTTACCATTTCCAGAAGAGTTGGACGGCGTTTTGGTACTAAAGGAAGTCCATTCTTTTGTCTGTTTGGACCTCGGGTGTGTATTGTGCGTGGATCAGGTCGCCTCTGTGTTGCATCTGTATGATTAACAGTTCCATTGCTGCTTCTGTGTTCTGAGTCTCGAGGGCTGTTTGAAGACTGAGGGACACTTCTGAGAATTGCTTGGTCTTCATCAAGTCCTTTTGCTGCAGTCTTGATGGGTTCTTTTTGAAATAAAAACACAGGAATAAATCCAGCCATTTTTCAAATTATGCAACTGATTAATGCACAAAACAGATTTTAAATGATATCATTCAGAACTATAAAAGGATATTCAGTGTGAAAACCACTGTAGCAAATACATTATTTGTATTGCTTGAGCTATTAAGATATTTTTAGAATAAAATACAAATTCTATATTAAAGGCCAGTTTTATTTAATTACCAGAACGATGAATAATGTAGGTCAAGGGCATAAGTGATAATTCATGCCTCCTAGACTTCCAGTTTTATCAGGTTTATCTTTAACTTTGTTTAAGCAATTACGTTTAAATCACATGGCTGGAAACAATCTACAGTTGAGTCCTCCACATTCACAGGGGTTACAGGCACAGGAATCCCACAAAAGTGGGAAAACTGTGAAAAACTTTAGGGTGGTGCAAATGCCTCTGGAAATCCTCACAGCAGTCAAAGTTACAAGGGAGTTACAAGCTTGCAAGGGAGTCAGTGGCTGCTTCACCTCCCACAGAGTTGCAAGGTGAAGCAGAGCAGCTGCGATCTCCTTGCAAACCACCACCTCCCGAACTCCGAGCGAACACGAAGTTCAGGAAGTAGTATTTAGGGGAGACCATGGCTGCTTCATTTCCTTCAAAGTTGCAGAGTGAACTAGAGCAGATGCGATTTTCCTGGCAATCTGCATCCTGAACTTGTAGCCTTGAGGTTCAGGAAGTGACATTGCCAGGGAAATTGCTGCCTCCTTGGAAGACCTGAGGAAGACAGAGAAGCAGCAATGGCCCACCAATCACCTCCTGGCTTCTAGAGATGGTTGGTGAGAGAGTGCAGCACAGTGGTTGACGGCACTTGTGGTGATCAGTGGATCCCCCCCTCCAGAAGCCCAAAACACCACGTGAAAGTGCATGCAGTAGTATGCTGCATGAGCAAGTGATATAGGAAACCTGCAAAAAAAAAAAATCAGCTATTTGAATGCTGAACCCGCAAATATGGAAGGGTGGCTGTATAAACAAAATGCATGTATTTTATTTATTCAAATTGTTACACACTGTTGTGTATTTTTGTGTTCTGCATTCTATGCAAATGCTCAAAATATTTTTATCATGTGTGGATAATCTTAACAAATAAATATTTGATGGTGCATCTTGTTTTTAGTACTAAATGCACATTCCTGACAGTCTCAGTTAAAGGGGGGGGGGGAGTTGATCACATGTGCCTAACTGATATCATTGCAGGGAAAGGTTGACTTTCATACTGCTGATATATCAGTTCGGCATGTTTATCTGAACAGTCTCCCCTGCCCCACTGAAGGCCTCTTCTAGGGAATGGGTAGAAATAAGATTTTCCACTAGACAATAACAAAATGTTACCAGTTTTAAGGAACTACCTATGTCTATAAATAATAATTAGTAATTCTTCAGAATCCTTTTGTAATTCAGAAGCAATATCTGATTCCATCCGGATCCCCCTGCAACTGAAGCAGCAAAGCTTACTAGGGACTTACTCATCATGGCTGAACTGGTACCCTAAGCTTGCTAATCTTCTCAGAACCCTCTACTGAAATCAGAGTCTGGTGTTGGCTTTCGGATCCAAGATTGTCATAAGAGTGAAAACTCCTTTCCATTCTTGTCAGCTCCTGGTTGGTTTAGCCACCTTCTCTTATATTCATTAGTTAAATGAGTGTGATCAGGTAGTGTAAATTAAGATGCTTGCTTATGAACTACCATATTTCCTTGCATAATAGTCACCATCATGTAATAATCACCCATTTTTGGGGTGTCAAAATTGGTATTTTTGTGTTCCTCAGATAATAGTTGCACCCTTCATTCACTTGCCTGCACACCTGCTCCCTTGGAGCTATAGGACTTTATTCAAGTGAAGCCTCGTAGCTAGATTTTTTCACTGCATAATAGTTGCACTCCCCTTTTTCGGTCCCCCAAAAGGGGGTGGAGAGATAAATGCATAAAGTCCAATTAGTCTAGCATCCTGTTTTCCAAAGTTTGAACTTGAAAGTTCATTAGGTTATTTATGCCCCATGATTTCATCTAAGCCTTTTTGAAAGTGATCTAATTTAAGGTCTACAACTAAAATTCTATGGCATTGGATGAAAGTGTGAGAGTCAGTGTGGTGTAGCTGCTTATAGACTGGACTGCAGTTTTGGAGACCAGAATTCAAATCTCCATTCCACCATGAAAACCCACTGGCAAGTCATGCTCTCTCAACCTCAGTGGAACATGAAATCTGTGACAGGGTTGCCTTAAGTAGGAAACAGCTTTAAGGCACACAGTAACATGAAAAAGAAATTTGGGGGTAATTTTGTCTTGAATTTGTCAATCATTTTCATAACCTTGCTATGGGAGAACAAGAAGACACTTTCACCACAATGCATAATTTTACAAACTTCTATTTCTGTAATCAAATATATCAAAACTTTAGTTTTCCTCTCATGTGAAAGGTTTCTAATTTTTTAATGCTCTTTCTCTTTCTCTTTGGGCATGGGAAATTCAGAATACACTCCTTATCTTACATCAGTCCAATTTGCTCATTATGCCAACCTGTTGTGGCTAACTTTGAGCCTGAGCTTTCTGAGCCTGAGTTTCTTCAAGACGAGGATGATGGGTTACAGATTTCTGAACATGTCCCTGTTATTGAGGCAGACAGTGTTGATTCTGAAGAAGAGACAGCATTTCTGTTTCCCAGAGAAAGGAATGTTGTTTTAGATAGTGAAACTTCACAGCTGCAGGTGGAAGAGTCGGCTCCATCTAGGAGTTCAGGGCCTCTCAGTTCCCAGGGTGACCAGTCCCAGGATAATGAGTTATCCGGCCTTGAAGATGGTGGAGATTTGATTAGGAAGGACCGTTTGCAATTAAGGGTTCACCGAAGTGCGTGGTTTGCCAACAAACGGGAAGTTCGAGGCCAATGTAATGCTTTTATGCTAGGGAAACATATTTAACGATCCGATTGAAGTCTATCCTTTATCAGTGCAATGTTGCTTACACCCTGTTAACTTCTCTGAAATTACGTCGGCTTTTGGGGAAAGCTTCTAGCTCTTTGGGACTTTGGTTTTGATCTTGATTTTTGGGGACCTTGTCATGCTGCCACGGATTCTTGTTTAACCAATGCTAAAGGATTATACTTCATGTTATTTGCCTTTGGATCTTGAAAGCTTTGCCTTTGCATTTAAGACTCTGTTTTGGCTATTAAACTTCTGCAAATTTACTTCTATGTTTTTGCTTTTGCTTTTTCCTCATTAAACTACAAAACCTACAGCCTTGGTGTGTGGCGGTGTCTTGAGCAAGGTGAATCTATCCTGAGTTGAGACACAACCCATGATTAAGGAAGATTAGCCTTGGTTGGTGTGATATCTAAACTAAGCCAATACAACAGATGCACATGTCTTATGTACCTGTTAATCAGCCACTAAACACAAAATATTGCCTAAGAAATAGATCTTCTCACTTGAACTGTTGAAGAATTACAACTGGAGCACGCGGTCTCTCTCCAATAGTCACCTGTTGTGCCAGATGGCCTCAACGGGATTCCAGTGTCTCCTCACCATTTAAAAGTTATGGACAATGAAGACAAACTTACCTTCATGGTCACTTTCACTTTCTGACAAACTGCCATAATTGGCTACCAGTGAGTTCAAAGCTGAAGTAACTTGCTTCGGAATGACACTAATCCCTCCTGCTGCCTCTTTTTCATCTTCCACTTCTTTATCTGAATCTGGGAAAAGACAGGATCACATTTTCTATGCAAACAGACTCAACAAGTGGTTTAGTCTCCATTTCCCTTAGCTTTTTAAGGCAATCGGGCCCCACATGCATACCTATACTTATGTTCAGGTACTGAAATCTACATACCACATCATAACTATCTAAAATACTGTATTTCACCATATCTAAGGCACACTTTGCCCCCCACCCATGTAAACATAATGAAAAATGGGTTGTGCCTTGGAATTACAGATGCACCTCAATATTGCAGATTTTTTTCAAAGGGAGAGGATCAGGAGTGGCGGCTGTGAAAGTGATAGGGAAGCAAGTGGGGAGCAAGAGGTATCCACCGAGAATGGAGGCGCTACTGGTTAAGAGACAGGAAAAAGCTTTATGTATCAGAAACACAACACAGCACAGAAGGCAATGACAGTGACAAAGAGCAGCAGTCCAGAGATGAGAAGTTATGCAATGGGAGGCAGCGTGAAAATCAAGAAAAGCCCATTTTAAAGGGCTAAAAATAACAAATAATCCAGAGAGGGGACAACAGCATTGGGTGAAGGGTTGGAAGAGCTTCCCAGGACTAAACCAACTTTGAAAGTAGCAGCAGGAGCCTGTGTTAACTGAGTGGATTTGCTTTCTCCTCTTCCATAAGCAGATATCGGGCTTTGCAGCTGAAACACTGCCAGAAGGGATGGACAGTTTAATCTATACCAGTGTTTCTCAACCTGGGGGTCGGGACCCCTGGAGGGGTCGCCAGAAGGTGCCAGAGAGGTCACCAAAGACCATCAAAAAACACAGTATTTTTGTTGGTCATGGGGGTTTGGCCCAATTCTATCGTTGGTGGGGTTCAGAATGCTTTTTGATTGTAGATGAACTATAAATCCCAGCAACTACAACTCCCAAATGTCAAGGCCTATTTTCCCCACACTCCACCAGTATTCACATTTAGCATACTGAGTATTCGTGCCAAGTTTGGTCCAGATCCATCATTGTTTGAGTCCATAGTGCTCTCTGTAGGTGAACTACAACTCCCAAACTCAAGGTCAATGCCCACCAAACCCTTCCAGTGTTTTCTGTTGGTCATGGGCGTTCTGTGTGCCAAGTTTGGTTCAATTCCATCGTTGGTGGAGTTCAGAATACTCTTTGATTGTAGGTGAACCATAAATCCCAACAACTACAACTCCCAACTTATGTTTCATAACAGGAGCAAAATTACAGTTATGAATATGCAAAAGAATGTTATGTTTGGGGGTCACCACAACATAAGGAACTGTATTAAGGGGTCGCGGCATTAGGAAGGTTGAGAAACACTGATCTATACTGACGATCATGCCATCACCACCCAAGCAGAGAGCTTTGACATGGTTGAACAAAAGCTCTCTGAATCTTTAGGTGATCTTACTGCCTATTACAGAGAAAACCAGCTGATTCCTAATCCATCTAAACTGCAGATGTGTACAGACAAGCTCCCTGAGTATTTCTCCCCTATCATGCTATTTCTTATTGCACTATAAAAGCAGAAGCTAAAACCAAGGAAATGTCTTACCAAGATCATTACTGGCCAAAATGCTAAGAGGATCAACATCTCTCTGAGAAGGGTGTGCTTCTCCAGCAGGCTGTGTTTTAACTTCCTTCTCAGTTCCATGGCTCTGGATACCATTTGTTGCTGCATTTTGAGCATGTAAAAGGAGATCTTTATCATTAGGCACATTCTTGTTTTTTTTCCAGAAGCCATTCTTTCGCCTTCTTCCTTTTCCTTGTTGCCTAGAAGCCTCACAATGAGGCGGTTTCCACATTCCTTTCATTTTGCTGAAAGAGAAGGCTGGATCAACGTCGGTTCCACATCATTTCCTGTCTGAATTGTGACACTGATTCAGATCCACTTGCCCCTAATTGCTGGATAGGCAAGGCTAATCCCATGTTGGCTAGATCAGGGCTTCTTAAACCTAAACCAAATGGTGTGCCAGAGTGGAAACGTTTATGAAGTTCTGGGATAGACAAATCAGTTTGAAACCATTTTGCTACTGAAAACAGTACAGCCCAGAAAGGTTTTCAAATAGCCTGGCGAATAACTCAGTGGAGACTACTGAAAATTGCCTCAAAGCTGTCCTGAAGCTCTTGGAGAATAAATGAGAAAAAGCATGTATTTCTTATATAAAATGAAAGTGAAGCAGCCATCTTTGCTTAATACAGCAATTATACTCCATGAAGTATATCTGGCTTACCCAAACTGTAATGTCCTAAGAACCTCTCCACGTTGCTCCTTTTCCTTCTGTAGTGCTATCTTCTTTTCAATATTTGCCAAAGTAGGGAAATTTCTAGAGCAACAAAACACAAAGACTAATGACTGAATGTCCAGTAGCAACACAGTATCCTACAGACCTTCTCTTATTTATCCTCACAGCCAGTCAGAATATTCCTCTGAAGGATATCAGGCAGCAGAGCACAGGTTGTGTTGTCGAAGGCTTTCATGGCTGGAATCACTAGGCTGTTGTGAGTTTTCTGGGCTGTATGTCATATTCCAGAAGCATTCTCTCCTGAGGATGTCTACCATAGGTGTGGGCAAAATGTCAGGAGAGAATGCTTCTGGAACATGGCCATACTGCCCGGAAAACTCACAACAACCCAGAGCACAGGTATCCAATATGAAGCTAGAAAGATCCTGCCATTGCTTTCAGCACTGGAAACTGGTGGCAATGTTCATCTCCTAAGAGCTTGCACACACATACTTTTCAATGTGGCAAAGAGACTAGAAGCAACCTGGAACCACTTCCTCTGCAGTCACTACTGAACTCTTAACTGTGGGTTAAGTAATCCACTCATTGAACTGTATTCTATGGCAATGTAGACTCCTGTAATCCAGTTCAATGCAGTTAAATTGCAACCTCTCTGTTGTGACTCAGCTGGAACCAGACACAGACTGATAGTGTTGTGACTCAGATGGGGTCTCAGAGTGACTCTGATGAGGATAATGAGATTCAGGTTCACAATCAGGTTCAAAATGTTCCTGTTGTAGACAATGAGGAACAGAGTGTGCAAGTTCAGTTTCCCACAGCAGGGAATGATGTTTTTTATACTGAAACTAGCCAGGTGCAAATTGATTCAGAAAAGGAGGACAGTTCTCAGCCTGACAGTAGGCAGGAAGGCAACCAGGCTGACACTAATGAGCAGCCTGACCTTGATGAAACGGGAATCTTAGATCGGGCTGACCGTTTGGAATTCAGACTTCGAAGGAGTGTGAGAATAACCAACAAGAAGGAGGCCAAAGGCCAAAGAAATGCTTTCATGTATTGCAAAGGGTATTAAGCAGTGTGTTTGAAAACAAACCTTTGTCAGATCAACTTCTCGCGCAACCAAGCAGCTTGCGCTCGTTTTCCTGTGTCCATGGTCTTGGGATTTTGTCAAGTTCTCATGGGACTTTGTTTCGTTGGTGCCATTCGGAATTCTGCTTTACAGTGCTATGTTTTATTGATCTTTGGAACATTATTTGCTTTTTAAAAACTTTTTATCTTTACTTTTTAATAAACTACAAAAACTTCTGTCTGTGTGCAGTTCTGGTGATTTCAGCAAGGTGAATCTATTCTGAGGTGCAACACTCTATACTAGGGGTCCTCAAGCTTTTCATACGGAGAGCTAGGTCACAGTCCCTCAAACTGTTGGAGGGCCAGATTATAATTTGAAAAAAAGAAAAGAATGAATTCCTATGCACACTGCACATATCTTATTTGTAGTGCAAAAGACACTTAAAAACAATACAATAATTAAAATGGAGAACAGTTTTAACAAATATAAACTTTTGCACTACAAATAAGATTTCAATGGGAAGTGTGGGCCTGCTTTTGGCTGATGAGATAGGATTGTTGTTGTTGTTGTTGTTGTTGTGTGCTTTCAAGTCGTTTCCGACTTAGGTTGACTCTGAGCGAGGGCTGGGTAAATGACCTTGGAGGGCCGAATTCGGCCCTCAGGCCATAGTTTGAGGACCCCTGCTCTATACGGTTCTGGCCCAGCTTACTTCTCCGAATGCATCTCCCTCTATGTCCCGCCTTGTAATTTAAGATCATCCAGGGAGACCCTGCTCTCACTCCCGCCAGCGTCGCAAATATGTCTGGCGGGGACAAGAGACAAGGCCTTCTCAGCTGTAGCCCCCGCCTGTGGAACTCGCTTCCCAATGAGGTAAGATCAGCTTCATCCCTCCTGTCTTTTAGGAAGAAATTGAAGTCGTGGTTCTGGGACCAGGCTTTTGGACAGCAGGCATAAATAGCGCTTTGGATATGGAATTTGACTGGAATGGGAGATATGGCGGTTAATACTGTTTTATTGTTTTAATTAATGTTCTATTTATTGTTTTAATTGTTGTTATATTGCTTTGTTATATTTAATGGCGTCAAATTGTGCCAAATGTAAGCTGTCCTGAGTCCCCTTCGGGGGTTGAGGACAGGGTAGAAATGCTGGAAATAAATAAACCTGAAAATGCATATGACAGTACAGATGGAGCCACAGCTGTAACAAAGAGCAAATCACACCAGATGGCATCTACACTGAAACTCACCATATGACTGGTAAAGTTGTAGTTTCTTAGCCTAAGAGGAAGGTAACAACCAACCTCCTCTGAATAAATATGATTATCATAATCATGTATTTATGAAGTGTCATCATTGTCCATGACACTTTATAAGTAAAAGAAAACAAGACAGTTCCCTGCCTTCAAGCTTAGAGCCTAATCAAGACATGGCACTCAAAGGACAAAGGGATGGCTGTGTGGGAGTGGATTAAGTTTAGTAAATATTGCCTCTTCTTCTCTCCTTCTAAGGTCAAGGGAACAGCTATTAGGATGGAATAAAGAGACATTCACCTGCTTCTGGGCCTAGGCATGACTGAACCTTGCCTGCTTCTTTTCCTCTCTCTCGCTCTCTCTCCAAGGTCAGGGCAGTGGCAACTGAGAGAGCAGATGGGCCTTTCTTTGACATGATTGCAAAAACTCAGAATGAAACTGAAGGCACAGGATGACCATCTACTCACTTTCTTCTTTCCTCCCTCCATTTTGCAATTTCCTCTGGAGTGTCCAATTTGATTCTTTTGGCACCAGGAGCATGCATCTAAAGGGGGGAAATGGGTGGGAAAAGATGTTTAAAAAGCAGCTTTAAGCATTCCACATACTTCTAGCCTACAACATTCATAACCTCTAGTCAGTGGTAAGGGCTTCTGGGAGCTGCAGGCAAAAAAATTACACTGAAAAAATATATTCCCATAAAAATTAAATATAACACAAAATCTCTCAGGATAGCATACATATTTCAAGAGAGACACAATGAAGCTTCCTTTTGGGTAAGAATCTATTCGGTTCCTGCACAGACAAATTTAAGAGCTGTGCATGCATTATACTGAGTCAATGTGTTATTCAAATAACCTGGTCTTAAACAGTATAAAGTTAATCAGCACTATTTTATCTAGATGCACCGGCAGCTGGTATAAAACTGGCGTTCTGTGTTTTGACCTTAAAGGTCAAGTTATTCCAGGCTAATATTTACCAAATGGAGACTTACCTTTTCTGCTTGGTTTTCGTTGCTACGGTTATTTAAATGTGCTGAATTATTTCAGGTACTGTATTTTAAATTTTATTGTGATATAATTATAGCCCCTGAAGTGCTGTAAAGATGCCACCTCAAAGGACAGTACAGAAGTATTTTAAATTCTACACACACACACATATTATATCAAAGCTCTGCTTCCTAGTAAATCAGTTTAACTAACCAGGTAGTGAAGCTTTTAGTAAACAGAACATCAGACTCCTCCCCACTTTACCACACATTAAAATGTCACACAGAAGAAGGGTAAGAAAATAAATTGAACCAAAGAAGTACTACAGTTCAGTGATTTGAAGCTGAATTGGGAAATACATACAGTTTTCAAATGGATCTGAATCAGTTTTTCGTGTGCACTGAAACTGCAGCCATCCTCTGTACACTGAAAGGAAAAAGGAGACCCCTTTTAAAACTGAATTATGTTGACTAGTAAAATTGTTTAAAGACTGGTCAGGAAAACAAGTCGCAATTCCTTCTATGCTTCCTTTCCTTGTGAGATCCTGTTCTCTCTGTCTCCGATTTTTCCTCTTCCACTTGCTGCATTTTCTCAAACATTGATGCCGCTCGCCAATGCCGTCAGTTCACAGTGGATATGCATCAGCCATCCAAGGCTAGATCTCCATGTCCATATCTACACTACCATTTCAAACTGCCTTATTTAACAGTACAGATCCAGCCAAGTCAGTTAGAGGTCTGGCCTGATAAGGAGTTTGGTGACAAGAAGTGATGGGTTCTTCTTCACTGGAAGCTTTCTTAAACAGAGATGGACATCTGTCAGAGGAAATTTAGCTGCACATTTCCTATACTGACAGAAAATATAAAAAAGGACCCTAAATTTCTACAAATCCAAGCAAATCACCATTCTGGATTCTGGCAACTTTACATTAAGCTGAACACCATTGAAGTATATTTCTGTTCTAGCTCAGCAGCAGTCACAGCATCCAGGGGCCGATGGGTTCACTGATGACTTAAGAGTCTGGTAGGATTGTGGGCTTCCCTGGGATTTATTCTGATACGGGCCAAAAAAGTGAAACCATTTCAGATAGGGATGATGGCATAGATGCAGAGCCTGAGAATGTAATTGCCTCTGAACCTCAAGGTCAGTCACAGGAGTTGGATTCATCCTCCCTAGATAAGGAGTCTAGCAAAGATGAATTGATGAGAAAGTCTCATAGGAAATCACCTGGTGAGACTGACCTAAGCAAGCAAGCAAGCAAGCACGCTTGCAGATTAAAGCAGATATCCAGCTTCAAAGATCAACATGGCTTTGTGGGAAATAGAAATTCCAGGGCAGACGTAATGCTTTCATGTCTGTTTATTAGTGTGCATTCTGACTTCAGTTTAGGCAACGTGGCTTTCAAGTACAGCTAGGCCTGAGTTCTATGTTTCTTGGTTCTTGGATTCAAGTATCTTGGGAGTTTCCCATGTCTTTGTTTTGTATGCTTTTTCAAGTTTTGCTTATGGACTTAAGCTGCCTTTGCCTTTTAGGACTATCTTTGGACTATATTGCTTTGGATTTATAAGAGACAATGGATAGCTGACTTCTTGGATTTTAAAACTTATTTCCTTATTCCTGCTTTTTCACCATATATCTTTGGCGTGTTTCTGCAATAAACTGTTTGCTTCTACTCTGGACTCTCGTGTGATGCTATGGTCATAGGTGACTTCAGGCCTGCGATGTGACAATTTCACCAGGACATTTCATTATGACATTATGTAGGTTCAAATCCATCAGTAATCCCATTGTCCTTTTCTTGAGAAATAGACATTCTGCTAATAAGAGTGAGCAACACATATTCTTTCCTTTAAGATATACAGTATTAAATAGATTGACCCAGGCCAGAAAATATTACCTTAATCCACAAAAATATCCCTCGGTACATACAGCTAAAATGTTCTATCAAAGGACAATAACAATTCAATCATTGGATGAAAATATCAAAATCTGATGTTTTCAGATTCCCATCAGTCAGCACAACTGGAAGTTGAGAGTGATTGGGTTTGTGGTCCAAAATATTTGAAGGGAATCAAGTCAAGAAGACTGTTATCCCATTGCTCAAATAAAACATGTTTTACTACTAAATATCAGAAATACATACGACACTTCCAGCAATCATGCATCAGTTTTCTACTGTCAATATTCATTTTTTCTGTGGTCTAACTTCCATATAATAGTAAGAACACTTCAGTTTATGGAAGCAGCTAAACTAGCAGCCATTGAAGTGTTTCTAGGATATCAAGAAATGTTTCCTCCTCATGAGAAAAATAAAGATGACATGCAAAAGGAAAAAGCTAGAGAATTTCTCAATAAAGAATTGGCTAAACAGGATATGAGTGATAGGCCTATCTGGAAAGTTAATCTATAAAGCCATTTGTTAGCTTATATATATTTATTAGGTGCAAAAGCAATGGCAAATTTAAACTACCAAAAGCAATGGCAAATTTAAATTACCAGCCGGTCTGAGTCCCTCTATGGAGGTAGAGAAGATCAGGATATAAAAGTTTTAAATAAATAAATACTAAATATCCAAGAAAGAATGTGGATGAAGAATTAGAAAAACATATTACAATAATCATACGTAAAGGATGAAATTAGAATAAGTCGAAGTAACAGAATTGAGAGCTGCATTTTTATAATGTTATGTGAGTAATGGAAGAGATGGGGGATATAAAATTTGGAACAGATGATGTGACAAGACTATTGTATTATGGTTTAAGTGTTTTGATTAAAAATACAATTTAAAAAGAGATGGCAGGAAATGAATGAGAACATATAATTGGTATGACTTACACCTAAGACATTCTGCCACTGAATGCAACTAAATCTGAAAATCTTAAAAGTTATCTTCCATTTATATTTTAAGCTCATAGAACAGCACGATGGAGGCATGCTTTATTCATTACAACAATACTGCAATTACAAAAAAATTCCTCTTCCATTAAAACATACCTTCATGTGCTGAGAGACATGTTCTTCATATTTCTCTTTATTTTTAAAACCACGATCACATGAATCACAGTAATGAGAAAAAACAGGTTCTTTTCTCTTCTTGTTCTGCAAACAGAGAAGGCTGATATTAGCTAAAATGACTTACATTGACATTATTCTGAGTATCAATATAATTCTTCCAAGAATTATCCCCTATTGTACCAGATCTACCACTAGATTCTGCCATAGTGAGACATTTTGCAAAGCAAATGAAAAAACAGTATTTAACCTTAAGAAAGCTGTGTTCATATATTGCAATGGAACTAGCCGCTGCAGCCTTAAAGCTGAATGTGGTCCTCAATCCAATATCAAAGTTCCTTACAAGCTATCAGTTGAGACCTATAACAGAATGATCTGAACATCCTGAAGTAAAACCAGTAAGTAGGGATGAACAGAAGAAAAGGAGTAGCAGAATATGTGATAGAAAGAGAATGACTAGAGGGGTGGTCCTGTTCAGAATTGCTACTCAACTATTGTTCCTGAGAAAACGAGACCTTTTCTGTGTCTTGTTTATATCCACAGAAATGAGCAGTACCATCCTTTGGAGTGAGGTGCTTCACATTTATTTTCCAGTAGATCAATTCTATAATGAAATTGGAATGTTCTGCTGAAGTTCGTGATTAACCACAACTTATGATTTCACCCAAATCAGACAAATTGTGGTTCATCTTAAATAAAATTTGTTTGAAACACAAGAACTTAGAATGCATGGGTTATGAGGCTGGTTTGCTTTAAGTGAACCATCAGTAAAATTAATGACATATTGTACAGATGAAATGGCATGCTGCCATGAAACTGAAATTGAATGCTTCTGATCTTTCTGCATCCATGTGAAATTGGAATGTAGGGGAGGTACACAAGGAAATTGCTTTTGTGTTGTCCAAATATGACTTCACCACTTATTCTTATATTACAGAAACAGAACTCAATTCGAAAGTAAATCAGCTCAAGAACCGGCAAAGTCTTATTCAATTTTTAACCCATTTGTGTGTGTTATATATATGAGTGACTGCAGTGCAGAGTTTGCAAATGGGGAATATTTTAAATAAATAGGCATGAAATATTAGACTGCTTCATAATGCATGTTTACAAACAGGTGTGTTTAACAATTTTAAAATATGTATTTCTCCTCTCAATGACAGTCCACATCAGAAGTAGGCAGACCAACTCTATTTTTACTAGAACTAGATCAAACAAAAGGTACAGATGACATATACCTAAATCTAGCCACTAGTCCCAAGCATAATTGACACTACAGTGTCCAAGAATCCTCTCCTTATGAGCAAATCACCACGTTTGTGATGACAGAGGGGGAAAGGACTGTGAAGTGTCCTGCACCAAGAGGAGCCTGGTTACTTTTTGAACTAAAGGGCAACAGGATCTGCAAAAACCCATTCTCAAATAAAAGTTTGAAACTTTGTATCCATCTCAGGAGATGCTTCCCTTTATGATGATGACCCTATTGACATGTCACTGCTGCATGAATAAGAAGTTGTGAGTAAACTGGCATAGGAACTATTCTTTCAATGCATATGTGTTTTTAGCTACTCAATTTAACTTATTTTAAATGTCAAAGATTTAAGATTAAAAGGCTCAAATATTTTTTTCCTAATGAAGAGAAGAGCTGCTGAGAACAGTAGGAAACATCAAAAAGGGGGGGGGGGAGTAAGAAACAGTGTTACCCTTTTGAGATAAAAACTAGATCACTGGACAGATACTGTGGGAACATTTTGTATGAGACTGAATACTGTAAATACATTTGGCAGAGAGAAAGTGAAGCAAAGAGCAACGTCTGGTGGTTGAATATAATTACTGCATGCAGGGATTATTTTGTATTTTAGACATTTTAAAATTTCTACTCTTGCTGAATATATGTCATTATAACGAAGCAAAGAGTATGTCCTAAGGCAAAAGCCCCTTGAAGAAGGGACTCTGCTGAATTACCAACAAAAAGAGTAATAATGGCTCAGATTATGGATGACATTAAATGTATGAGATTATAATACTTGAGCAAATCTCTCAAATAGATGAAGATTTAAAGATACATTTTAAAAGTGAATTGAAGTATGGGATGAAAGAAATGAAACAACATTTGATGCAGATGCCTGCAAAACAGAATCAGATAAAAAATTCATAATTTGGAAGAAAAATTCAGAAAATTGAGCAAGAGAATGAACAGCATCTGGATGGAATTAAGAGAATGTGAAAATCCTCTACGCATCAATGCTGTTTCAGTGCAATCTGTGAGCTGATTTTTGTTCCACTTTGGAAAAGGCACTCTATAATAACAAAATAAAGAAATGCAAAAATACATTTGAACAAAGATTATTTCCATTTTGGCTAGATAAAGTAGGAAACTGGTGGCAGAACTGGGTCAAGTGTACAGAACTTCTTGTAGCGCAAATAAAAAAACTTGCCAGAAAACTTGCTCCAGCTGTTTGGCCTTCAACACCCAGAATTCTTGGCAATTGAACAAGCTTGTCAGGGCTTCTGGGAGTTGGAGGCCCAAATAGCTGGAGGGCCGCAGTTTGAGGATGCCTGGTGTATGTCCTCCAAAAACAAGGGATATAAGGTTCTATAGCAACATTTTGAAATAATAGAAAGGTGGGAGGAAAGAAGATTTTTAGATGCCGAGAAAACATTTGATAATTTAAACTGAGGCTTTCTGTTCAAAATTTTAGAAAATATGAGATTTAGAGATAGCTGTACTAAATAGATGCAGACGATTTATGATACACAGAAACCAAAGCATCTTACAAAAGGGTACCAGACAAGGATGCACACTTTTCTCCATTATTGTTTATATTGTCCCTTGAAGTTTTCAACAAGGCATGAAAAAATAAGGATATAAAGATTAAAAGGAATATATACAATAAGAACTTTTGTTGACCATGTTAGAAAATCCTTTAGAGAGCACAGGGTCCTTGCTAGAAATACTGAACAAATTTGAAAAGTTCGTTTGGTGTAAGGATGCAAAAGACAAGGATGTTCGCTAAAAATATGGAAAGAGAGGTCAAGTATCACCGAGGGAGATGTTGGATTTTAAGGTTGAGAAAAAAATGAAGTATCTTTGTATTATAATAACAAATATGAATAGCATGCTAATGAAGTACAATTATGTAAAAACATGGAATGATAGAAAGGTTCATCTACAAAGATGGAGAGAAGTAAATTATCACTCTTGTGGTGAATACTGTGATAAAAAAAATATCCTGCTGTGTCTTTAGTTCTTGTTTCAAACAATATTGATTTTGTGTAATGATGCCTGATTTAAAAATGGTAGAGAGATTTGCTGAAATTTATGTGTCAAGGGAAGAAATGAAGAGGGAAATATAAAACACTACAAGATGCAAAATAAGGAGAGATTGCAGGGATTTGACTTTTTTGCTACTTGCTCTTTGGTGAGTTAGAAGAATGGAAGTTAGATCTGGAGGGCGTGTTCCAAGATTTGGATGCAATGACCTATCAAGATTTTAAGAATTTCATCTAAAAAAATATCAAGTTGACTAAAACCTCTAAGTTTCAGTGGTATTCTTGCAGACAAATATTTGAAAAATCCAAAATCAATAAAACCTATATGATATTGAATTTAAGAAATCATAATTGAAGACAACACTGTTGCATACGGCTGACTGGTAAAATGTATAAACTGTTAAAATTAGATATAAAAGAAGAGCAAGTCAAGTATTGTTTCATTATGTAGACACGAAATTTTGAATACAGTATAACATACAATTGGAAAAATTGTTAAGAAATAAAATTTAAACTTTGGAATGATTTGGAAAAAAAATCATGGTATTCTGTTAGTATTTAACACTAGAAAAAAGGCTAAGAGTTTTCTAAATGACATGAATGCAGCTTTCATAAAATCATGGAGTTGGATGACACCTTGTGGGCCATCCAATCCAACCCCCTGCCAAGAAACAGGAAAATTACATCCCAAGCACCCTTGACCATCTAGCATCTGTTTAAAAGCCTCCAAAGGAGCTTCCACCACCCTTCATGGCAGAGAGTTCCAGTGCTGAACAGCTCTCCCCGTTAGGAAGTTCTTCCTAATGTTCAGGTGGAATCTCCTTTCCTGTAGTTTGAAGTCTTTTATGCTTCTATGAACTGGGCTGGGACACAGGAAGTATTCCTTGTTGAAAACCTTGGTTGGCTGTTTCTGGACACTATTCAAAGTAATGATTATAAAATATAAACTACACAGCTCAATTCTAGGTAAGGGATCTTATCCCATAAAACATATATTCTCCCTGTATTAATATCTTCACAGGCATACCTGGTGGAAACATAGGAGAGGGCAAGGATATCTACTTCTTTACTGCTGACAAAGCAAAACTTTTTTATTCCAATGTATTTTAGAAATTGAGCATAAGGGCTTTTAAGTGTGCACTCTTTCAATGATGACTATCTTTTTCAATGGATTTGTTTTAGGAGGGTTTGACTATACACATACTTAATTTGCACTTCAACAGTAGCTGTTTGCATGTTTTAAAATTAATTTTTGAGTATTTGTTACCATATCGTCTTCAATTTCTGTAAGATGACCGACTCATTTAGGGAAAAAGAAGGGCTTTAATTGAATAATTTGTAATCCCCAGTAGCAGTATCCCAAATACTATGAATGAAAGCTGTCAAATACGATCATTGACTGATGACTAAATACCTTCCGTTTATACTTCCTGCCTTGCCCTGGTCCAGAATGGTGAAATCCGGATTGTTGCTCCTGCCATTGTCCATCAAAATGGCAATTTCTCCCTTCAATTTAAAAAAAAACAAAAACAGTCATTGGAATGTAATAAATTGATTTTATTTCAAAAAGAAACATACTCTAAACTGGCTTTGACGATAAATATCAATTTTTCATAAAGAACAAAAACAAACACTGCTAATCTCTTTTTTACAACTATAAATTATATCAGACTGAGACAGGAAGAAGAGCCATTTTTCATATAGTTTCCCTCCTTGAACATTTAGTATTGATTGTCATTATAAGAACTACAAATTCAGTTATAAAAACTGACACTTAAAGCTGCAGCTAGTCCAAAGATCTGTGGCAAGGTTGCTCACTGGAGCGCCGTACAGGGAGCGATCAACCTCCTTGCTATAGCAGGTCCATTGGTTACCAGTCTGCTACCTGGCATAATTCAAGTGCTGGTTTTAACCATTAAAGCCCTAAATGGTTCAGGCCCAGTCTATCTATCTGACCGCATCCCCTGATATAAGCCTGCCCGTGCTTTACGATCTGCCCAAGAGACCCTGCTCTCGGTCCTACCCCTGTCTCAGGTGTGGTTGGTGGGTAGAAGGGAGAGTGCCTTTTCGGCGGTGGTTCCTCGGCTCTGGAATTCCGCCCCAAAGACATCAGAATGGCTCCCTCCCTGCTATCCTTCAGAAAACGAATAAAAAACCTCTGTCTGGAAGGAAGCTTTTGGGGAAGACAATGGATACTTATTTAGGTGATCCCTCATTGTCCGAGTAAGATTGTCTTCTAAGTTCGGTGTCCTGACAGTGGGTCCGTACGTGACTGTGGAACCCTATTCTTGATCTGCATCTTCTCCCACAGTGAGGGCATCTGTTTCCAGGTGGATGGCAGTCCCAGTTGAGGTTGGCTTGAGGCGCCTTCCTCTTGGCACATTTCTCTCTTTCACCCTCCATTTGTGCCTCTTCAAATTCTGCAACACTGCTGATCACAGCTGACCTCCAACTGGAGTGCTCAAGGGCCAGGGCTTTCCAGTTCTATGTATCTATGCCACAGTTTTTAAGGTTGGCTTTGAGCCCATCTTTAAATCTCTTTTCCTGTCCTCCAACATTCTGTTTTCCGTTCTTTAATTTGGAGTAGAGTAACTGCTTTGGGAGACGATGGTCAGACATTTGGACAACGTAGCTGGTCCAGCAAAGTTGATGGCGGAGGAACATCGCTTCAATGCTGGTGGTCTTTGCTTCTTCCAGCACGCTGACATTTGTCCACTTGTCTTCCCAAGAGATTTGCAGGATTGTTTGGCTGCAACACTGATGGAATCTTTCCAGGAGTTGCATGCGACATCTGTAGACAGTCCATGTTTCGCAGGCATATAGAAGGGCTGGGAGGACAATAGCTTTATAAACAAGCACCTTGGTATCCCTATGGATGTCCCGGTCCTCAAACACTCTCTGCTTCATTTGGAAAAATGCTGCACACGCAGAGCTCAGGCAGTGTTGAATTTCAGTGTCAATGTTGACTTTTGTGGAGAGGTGGCTGCAAAGGTAACGGAAATGGTCAACATTTTCTAATGTTACACCATTAAGCTGTATTTCTGGCATTGGAGAGGGATTGGCTGGTGACTGCTGGAAGAGCACTTTGGTTTTTTCGATGTTTAATGACAGGCTGAGCTTCTCATATGCTTCTGCAAAGGTGTTTAGAGTGGCTTGTAGGTCTTCTTCTGAATGCGCAGAGACAACATTGTCATCAGCATATTGGAGTTCTATAACAGATGTTGTTGTGACCTTGGTTTTGGCTTTTGATCTGCTGAGGTTAAATAGCTTGCCATCTGTCTGATAGATGATTTCCAATCTGGTGGGAAGCTTCCCATCAACAAGCTGAAGCATCATAGCGATGAAGATAGAAAATAAGTTGGGGCAATAACACATCCCTGTTTGACACCTGATTCCATCTTAAATGGGTAACCTGTGAAATGGCTATTGGATCTGACCATGGCAATAAGAAGGAATTGGCTTTTAATATCACTGGTTTTAATATCATTTGCTACTTTTTATCATGTTTATTATGTGGTGTCGTTTTAATTTTTATGTTCTCCTAATTGTATGCATTTGGTATTAGTATTATATTTGAAGGGCATTAAATGGCTCTGAGTATTAACTGCTCTGAGTCCCTCAGCGAGAGAGAGAGGGAAGGCGGGGTATAAAACAAAGCAAATAAGTAAATAAATCAAAATAAAACGATGTGGCAGTTCAACTGCAGTCATTTTGGAGCATTTTTGAGGATTACCTAGGAAAGAATCCCACTAGAGCATTGCAGCATACACAAATACTTGGGAATTACCCTGGACTGTGCTTTGACCTACAAGAAGCACTGCCTGAATATCAAGCAAAAAGTGGGCGCTAAAAACAATATCATATGAAAGCTGACTGGCACAACCTGGGGATCACAACCAGACACAGTGAAGACATCTGCCCTTGCACTATGCTACTCTGCTGCTGAGTATGCATTCCCAGTGTGGAACACATCTCACCACACTAAAACAGTAGATGTGGCTCTTAATGAAACATGCTGCATCATCACGGGGTGTCTGCGCCCCACACCACTGGAGAAATTGCACTGTTTAGCCCAGGGGTCCTCAAACTTTTTAAAGAGAGGGCCAGGTCACAGTCTCTCAAACTGTTGGAGGGCCGGATTATAATTTGAAAAAAAAAAAACATGAAAGAATTCCTATGCACACTGCACATATCTTATTTGTAGTGCAAAAACACTTAAAAACAATACAATAATTAAAATGATGAACAATTTCAACAAATATAAAATTATTAGTATTTCAATGGGAAGAGTGGGCCTACTTTTGGCTGATGAGATAGGATTGTTGTTGTTATTGTTGTGTGCGTCCAAGTCATTTCAGACTTAGGTTGACCCTGAGCGAGGGCCAGGTAAATGACCTTGGAGGGCCGCATCCGGCCCCTGGGCCATAGTTTCAGGACCCCTGGTTTAGCCGGTACTGCACCACCTGACATCCACCGGGAAGTAGCAGCCAACAGTGAAAGGACCAAGGTAGAGACATCTCCAGTTCATCCCTTGTTTGGGTATCAGCCAGCATGCCAACCACTTAAATCAAGAAATAGTTTTCTAAGATCTACAGAGACACTCGCTGGAACACCTCAGCAAGCGAGAGTCCAAAAGTGGCAGGCTCAATCCCAGAACAGACTGCACTCTGGCACCACGAGATGCAGAGCCAACCTTCAGAAATGGGGCCACAAAGTGGAATCCTCGACATGCGAATGTGGAGAGGAGCAAACCACTGACCACCTGCTGCAATGCAACCTGAGCCCTGCCACATGCACAATGGAGGACCTTCTTGCAGCAACACCAGAGGCACTCCAAGTGGCCAGATACTGGTCAAAGGACATTTAATCAACAACCAAGTTTGCAAACTTTGTGTTTTGTTTGTCTGTCTGTTAAAAAATGCAATACAACTGTTTGGCTTGCTCCTGACACGATAAATAAGCGTCCACTCCATGCGACAAGGGAGGAAGGGCCCAAGGGAGGGCTCGGGGTCCTACCTGAGGGCCGCGCCGGGGAAGGAGAAGGGGAGGCGGAGGGCGGCCGAGGCCAGGCCCATGGCGGCGGCGGAGGGGGCTGCGCCCAAGGCCCCCGGGAGCCCCAGTCCGGGAAGGGCGGCGGAGGCGGGAAGGGCGGCGGGCACCACATCGCGAGGACCGTCGCTTCTTCCACGTGCGCGCTCTCCCTTCGTCTCCGCCCCAACACACGTCCCTCACAGCCGACAACCAATAGGAGCGCGCAGTCCCTAGCGGAAGGCGGTGCCTAGCTTCGGTGACATTTTTACTCGGCGCCGGAAGCCAGGAGAGGAAAATTTCTGAAGCGGAAGTCAGCCCATCGGCCCCTTCCGGCTCGCTCTGTTTTGCCCCCCTCCCCTCCCCTCCCCGCGTGCCATGGCGTCGCGAGACCTGATCGGGCCGGCGCTTCCCCCGCATTTGGCCTCCTCCGCCGCCGAAGCCGACCCCGACGGAGACCCCGGGCAAGGTCAGGCCCAGGGGGAGGGAGGGAGGAGGAGAACACTTTGGGCCCTTCCACACAGCACTTGCCGGATTACTCAATGGTCAGGACTTCTGGGAGTGGGAGGCCCAAGCAACGGGAAGGCCGCAGTTGGAGGCCTGGTGTAGAGGCACTCTTTTGACGCCTGCATTTCTGTGTCTCCCACACAGCCCTCTCTCCCAGAATATCAAGGCAGGAAATCCCTCTCAGATAACATTGTTTGAGTGTGGGCTCAGTTAATACAGTTCAAAGCAGATATTGTGGGATTCTCTGCTTTGATATTCTGGGTTCTATGGCTGTGTGGAAGGACCCTATGTCATTCTGAATAAGACATTATTGAAACCCTATTGGATTAAATAGTTTCTAATATGGAGTGTTTTAATTTTTTTTCTCCAACTAAATCCTTTGCATGCAAATGTATTATACTGAATTCAGTGGAACTTACTTACAGCTATAAAGTCATATCTGCTCATGACATGCATGTTTCTCAAACTCATGGCTTTTTTACAAAGCCATATAACCCAGAAAATCAAGGCAGAATAACTCATAATATCTGTTTCCAACAGAGTTATGGGTTATGACCCAGTTCAAAGCAGATATTGTGGAATTTTATTCAGTTGTGTGGAAGGGGGAATTCATTCCTGATAAATTAATGTTCAAAACTGGGCTACAAAACAACACAAGGAGTCCTTCCACACAGCCCTATATCCCAGAATATCAAGAGAGAGAATCCCACAATCCTTTTCTGGGATACACAGAAATGCAGGCGTTAAAAGAGTGCCTCTACACCAGGCCTCCAGCTTCCCGTTGCTTGGACCTCCCACTCCTAGAAGTCCTGACCATTGAATAATCTGGCAAGTGCTTCTGGGAGTTGAAGGCCTAAACAGCTTTGAGGTGGCCTCCTCTTCACTGTTGAATGAATGCAGTTTGACACCCTTTGAACTACTATGGCTCAACGCTATGGGATCTCCATGGAGCTGTAGTTTGAGGAGCCCTCTTTGACAGGGAAGGCTGAGGGGCCTTGTGAAAAAAGAAAACCAACAGCAATGAGCCATGCTCCATAACAAAGCGGTGTTGTCTTGAGGATATGACAGATGACAGTTGGTGGCTAATAAAACTTTAGGTAAAAGTATGATAGCTGGGACCCAACGGTATGCTACTTGCGCAAGGCGGTTCAGAATAGAGTAACGGAAGATGAGCCCATCACGGCTCAGAAAGGGGGTGGGGCAATAAATAGGGAACCATTGTGGTTAAGGAAAGTGAATGAATGTTAGAGTTTTTTTACTGTTAAATGCTAAACCACAGGCTACTAAGATGGTAAATGGGATAGAATTGTTTCCTCTCACCCTTTCTTGTGAACAATGGGCTGTCTCGTGCACATGTTCCCCTCATTAATTCAGACCCGCATTACGCTGGTTCCCAGCTATCATACTTTTACCAAACTTTCTCACCAGGAAAATCAGAACCACACTCTAATACAGACACGGGCAAACTTTGGCTCTCCGGGTGTTTTGGACTTCAACTCCTATAATTCCAAAGAGCCAGTAAGCTGTTAGGAATTGTGGGAGTTGGAGTCCAAAACACCTGGAGAGCCAAAGTTTGCCCATGCCTGTTCTAATAGCACAGCCTTACATTCCTGGGCCCAGGACCTGATGTAGTTGGTATTGATATGTTGTTGAGAAATTTGATGGGTTCCGATCTCTTTACCCATTGAAAGGAAGGCTGCCTGACTCCCGATACACCGTAAATTCTCCCTTTGATCTAAAATTTTTGAAGGAGATGCCAGACAGGTAAATTGCAGCTGTTCCAAATTGAAACCCGTGGGCACATTTTGCTTTAGATTCCTGATTACAAGAGCAGACTTAGGACCCTTCTACACAGCCATATAATCCAGACATATCAAGGCAGAAAATCTCACAATAATCAACTTTGAACTGGGTTATCTGTGGGCCCTTCCACACAGCCCTATATCCCAGAATATCAAGGCAGAAAATCCCACATTATCAGAGTATGGACTTAGATAACCCAGTCCAAAGCAGATATTGTGGGATTTTCTGCCTTGATATTCTGGGTTATATGACTGTGTGGAAGGGTCCTGAGTCCACATTGCCATATATTCCAGTTAAAAATATAATAAAATGTAGGGTTTTATTCCGCTGCGTGGAAGGGATCTTGATCCAATCTTTCAGTGCTTTGCTCACATACCGCAGATGACATCATGTATGCTTGGGTTTGATCACATAAATGAGAGCAGGCAATTGACTGTTTATCAGTAGGTCTTGCCAGTCACCGTGTTCCTAAAAGTGAAATCCTAGGTATTTGCTGGTGATAAAATGTTTTGAATGATAAGAGCGTCATCCTGGATTGTTGACTGGCATTTTCAGCAATCTCCTTGGATTTGGTGGCAGGCAAAAGTAATGACTGGAGTCTTAGAAGGACTGTATCATTAATCCAGACTGATACCACTTTTAATTGTCATGGCTCAATCCTACAAGAGTTGTAGTTGGGTGAATCTCTAAGCACTCTTGGACAGAAAAGGTTGGTAAACTCTTATAAAACTACAGTTTCCGTGATTTTATAACATGGAGCTGAAGCAGTTCAAATGGTGTCAAACTGCATTAATTTCATAGTGCTGATGCACCACCAGTGCTTATTTCTATAAAAGCTGTGTTGGGCAATTGTAACAAATATGCATCTTTTAGAACCACTGAATTTCTGGGTCTGGCCTTATCCTGTTGTTCAAAGGCCAAAGATGATATTTGTGATATGTTTGTGTAGTGGCCGGTTGCTGATTGCTGTGAAATTTGCCTTGAAATCATTGGTTTTTTCCCCAGTAGTTTTCTTCAGTATTATAGATGCATCAGTTTTTAAGCACCAAGTTGTAGATTTGTATGTGCTTGGGTATATGCTAGTTATAGGTATACATCATATGGAATGCTTAAAGTTCAGATAAAATTAAGACACCAACTACTTAAAATTCCAGTAGTTATCCAGAGACAATATGCTGTACATGATAATGTTTCCCATCTTTATTTCTAAGAGAAATTCTAAGAGAAATACTTCATTGAGAAACACATCTGTACTAGGTCTTGCTTCATCTCTGATATAAATTAAGTTGATATTTAAAAATAATTCCTATTTTCTTGCTGTATCTTTTTAAAGTGATTTGTTGCTCACAGCTATTTTGAATGGTTACTATATTTAAAATTCATTCTTAGTTCTCAAAAGTAGCATTTGAATATTTTAGTCTCAACCTGTGGGTCCCCAGGTGTTTTGGCCTACAACTTCCAGAAATCCCAGTCAGTTTACCAGCTGTTAGGATTTCTGGAAGTTGGAGGTCAAAACATCTGGGGACCCACAATTGAGAACCACTGGTCCAAACAGAAATAATACAAATTTATTTCCATGAAATGAGCAGTAACACAAAGTGTTGTTTAGCTGCAGGACCAGCATTACCTCCTGGTTACAAAAGTAACCCAGAAATACACAATTGTGATCAGGAGAGCAACCCCAGTTCTGTGCGAGGAGAAGAGGTTTCAAATTCAGAAGATGATGAAGATGCAAGTCCAACACCCAGGTCAGTTTGTTGGTGAAATATATGAAACTGTCTTATCAGACCATTAGTCAATCCAGCCAAAAGGTATCTAGTTACAGTGACAGTCAGTCTCTAAGGTCTGATGCAAAAAAATTTTCTGGCATTCTCCACACAAAGCCCGAGAAACCATTGTACCTCTGGGTGTTTTGGATTTCAGTTCTCAGAGTCTCCTACTCTTCATACTTTTCTGAACGTATGAAGAGTAATAAAGCCTGACTGCTCACTGGAGGAAAGGATACAAGAGGCAAAGATGAAGTACTTTGGCCACATAATGAGAAGACAAGAAAGCTTGGGGAAGACAATGATGCTGGGGGAAATGGAAGGAAAAAGGAAGAGGGGCTGACCAAGGGCAAGATGGATGGATGTTATCCTTGGATGGATGTTATCCTTAAAATGACTGGCTTGACTTTGAAGGAGCTGGGGGTGGCCAAGGCCAAAAGGGAGCTCTGGCATGGGCCGGTCCATGATGTTATGAAGAGTCGGAAGTGACTGAACGAATAAGCAACAAATGAAGAGTAAAAGGTTATTCACCTAGACTGTACCATAATCACTTGTGGCAGAATATGATGGGCTTCTAAGGGTAGAGTCTTGATGTGGGTCCATAAGAGACCTATTCTGGTTTTGCGTGGTCTTTCACAATGAGGACATAGGTTTCCAGATGGAAGGAAGTCATGCCAAGGATTTGCGTGATGTGCTTTCCTCATGGCACATTTCTCCCTTTCATCCTCTATTTCTGCCTCTTCAAAATAGCATTGAACTTTGATCTTTCTGGTTTCATACTGATGGTTACAAAATAATGAAAACACTGAATGCTTGCGTTTTGATCTACACTATATGCAGGATGTAGTAATGAATAGCACAATATTTTTAGTAATGTTTTCTTGATTGTTTTCAGACCTAGGATCTACCATAACACAAACCTTTAATGTAGAGCTTGCTACTATTTCTTAAATACACACATATCTGTCTATTTTTTCTCTTTAGTGTGAGCAGATGCTCATGTACCTCTAATAGTTATGCAGAATACACTGTTTTGACAGATGTAACAGGTCTCCTGTACAATAAGCAAAATTCTACAGTTCCTACTTCTACATACTATTAAAGGTAGAGCTTTGTTCTTGGTATCTGACCTCTGCTTGCCTATTTGTTTCACTTTTTAAAAAAGTACTTGCTAGCTGGCACATCTGGTGCACCAAGATGAAATATTGGATCTCTCCTGGATCCTAACATGTTGTGTGAAGGCCAATTCCCATGGCAAGAATGGAGAACTTTCAAGAGCAAACCGTCCCTTCTACCATTATTTCTCAAAAGGGAACAGAGATAAGAGATTATTTAAAGGCAGTTTTGATAAGAGACAAGAAATTGTTTAATTTCTGGAATACTATTGCATGGAAGTGTGTTGTGCTTTGCTGGAGAGCTTTGTTTTGACATTTCTCCCTGTGTAGAAATACATAGAACTGAGATGTTCTTTGATGGAGAAATGTTCACATTACTGAGAATTACACACCCCTTGAAAAGGATTTGCGATTGCTTTTGGTACAATGTGGAATGAAATTCAGGGCTAAACTGGGATGAGGATGCTGCCCAAGGTCACCCAATTTGAGCCAATTCCCAATTTCTTCAGTGGAAGGGTTGTTTTCCCAAGATTGCAAAGGAATGGGGAAGCTTTCTTTGGTTAAATTATCTTGAGCCTGTATGTAAAATAATACATGTAATTATCTTCAAGTAATCTTTTGGCACACAATCATGTTTTTTTTTATGTCAGTATGATATTGCCTTGTCCTTTATGTATATAATTTTAAAGAATCACAGCCTGTAATGGTAAGTGCATAGGGTATCCTTAGAGCCTGTTCATGATCTAAGAAAATTGGCCCTGGATGAGGATATTGGGGGCTGCCTGCCAACAGATAGTGGCTTATGCCATATACTCACAGTCACTTTATGCACCCTATGCATTCTCTTTGCATTTATACCACACACACAGTCACCCTGTTTACACTTCCTTATAAATACATGCACACATGGATATATGCATGCAAGAATGTACACACATTCTGTGTGAGAGAGAGAGTGAATATATACATATATACTGTTTTCATTCATGAAACATTATGAACCTAGCAAGTCCATTTTACATATCAAGCTCTGGAAATGCTTAGCAATTTTGTCATATGTTCCAGGAAACAGAGAAGATATCAGGAAGACGATGATGATGGATTCTTTGGCCCTGCCCTTCCTCCTGGCTTTAAAAAACAAGATCAGTCCCCAGAAAGGTAATTCCAGGTGGAAATTGAGTCAATCAGTGAGTTCCTTTTAGTGCCCCATAGTTATGTAGGAAAAATTCCATTGCCCTAGATTGTATTTATTGGAAGATGTATATATTTTTCTGACTGGAATAGCACCCCTGCACAAGCTGAAAAAAAAGTTGGAATAGTAGCTGTATCAAGACCTGAATCCTGCTACACTCTAAAATGCATGTATGTATAAGGTAAGGGGTTAGGTTTAGGGTTGCACTTTTCAATGTAGAGGTAACATTTCCATAGAATTTTAAAAGCTGTGATACTCCCTTTACCGATTTCTTTTGGCATTTAGATTTGTGAATTTTAGGATCACTAAACTAAATAAATCCATCAGTCATTCAGAGTGCAGGAGTCCGATGTTATTCTTGCTATTAACTCTTCAACAGCCACTTTGCCCACAGTTCTCCATATTAGACTTATAAGAGAAAGATGAATCTTTTATAGATCATGTAAATTTCAGGTAATTCAGCAGTCAAGCCTATTCAGCCACTTCTTCCACAAGTTGTTACAACCATGGGTTCTATAGCAGTGGTTCTCATCCTGTGGGTCTCCAGATGTTTTGGTCTTCAGCTCCCAGAAATCCTAATAGCTGGTTAACTGGCTCAGATTTCTGGGAATTGTAGGCCAAAATACTTAGGGACCCACAGGTTGAGAACCACTGTCCTATAGTAAGAGTTCTCAAAGGGTAGAGAGAAAGATTATATACCAGAAGGACAAAGGGGAGATTCAACTGATGACATTCCCCCAGATTTAATAAACTGATTCATCTGTCCTGTTAAAACGAGAAGCTATGAAAGAATCCATTTCTTTCAAGTGAAACAGAATAGTTGTAACTTGTACTTTCACAAGTGAACCTTCGACAAATTCATATCTAATTGTTCCTAATGTCCAGTTTAGGTACATCTTGAAACTGACTATGTGTGGCAAATTAATTACAGTCTGCCCTCAGCTTTTAAGGGTTAAAATTCAGTGACAAATGCCGATTAAAAACCCTTAAGTCAAAATAGACTGGGTCGGCCTGCTGGAAAAGATGGGTCATAGAATCATAGAGTTGGAAGAGACTTCATGGGCCATCCAGTCCAACCCCCTGCCAAGAAGCAGGAATATTGCCTTCAGGAATATGGTCTTCTGTTAAGATATTATAACACATAACCTCTGTGTCCTAGCATAAGCTTTCTTGAAAAACGGAAGTGTTGTCATATGTTTTCACAATCTGTGAAGGATTTCTCAACTCAGTGTTGTCCTATTTGTATTTTATGAAGAAAAAACCCTCATGATCTGCCAAAGTATTTGATTTAACAAAGCAGAAGTTCATTCTCAGCAGCTTTTCACAGTTCAGATCTATAGCGGGTTAAGCAATTCCAATAATTGATTCTATTGACTCTTGCTCCAAAGCACTGAAACAGATATTCTGGATAATTCTTTAGGGGGTTAAGTGACCCCAAATATTTATTCTATTGGCACTTGCTCCAGAGCACTAACATTTTGGAAACTGTAAAGATCCACCTAGTACAATATTCTTGATATGGATCTACACAATTAGTTTGCACTAAGTGGCTGACTGTTTTACTTCTGCCCATGCCTAGACTGTATTCTGCGTGACATGATGCGGAATATTTTAGCTCCTCATGAATGCCTTCAGACAGGCTCCCTGTTCTCCTGAGAGCAAAAGTAAAACTGACAGTTACTGAGGAGAATGAAAATCCACAGCCATAGCCCAGCAGTCTATTGTTATGTGGGAGAAATTAATGCCTGACGTCTAGTTGGAGCCATGCGAGTTAGAAAGCAGTGTGTGGTATATTTTTACAATGTTTATGTGTTTTAATTATTTTGTAAGCCACCACAAGGAGATGCGGGTAATAAATAAAATTATTCTTCTCTGAAGAAATTGGATGAGCCAAGTGTGGTCTGTGAGTTGTATGTAATTCCCGGAGGTTATCTTATACTCCTAATGGCCCTCCAGTGCGACAAACCTTTGAAATATTATTTTACTGGAAATGTTCCCATGCCCTATGACAAGCATGAAAGATAGTTACAGTATTTATTTTTAATTGGCGGTGGTAGGGAGGTTGTTTTAGACCTAGAAGGGGGCCTGTTTTTTAAGCAGGAACTGAACTATTCTTGATTATCAAAATGCCTTTCATTTATCTAAAGCAGTTGGGAAAGGGCAAGGAATATGACATGCTCTCTAGACCCTATAAAATGTGGGAAGCCTTTCAGTTTATTTTTCTCAATTAAAAGAAATGATACAGGGCTGTGGCAATGGAAAATATTCCACCCTCCTTCACAGCTCAATAAGTGCTTCCTAAACCCACATCTGATGTAAATAAATAAACCTGACCTGTTAAGGCTTCCCCCATCTTACTTGAAGAATTGAGTTTAGCCAATTAAGCCTCTACAATTTCTAAAACAATGTTACCCTTATGAGGAAGGATGTTGGGTCTATAAGCCCCATGCTTTTAATCAAGCTTCATATTTCATAATGTAGTTTAATAGGCTTCATGGTTAGATGAAGGGTATGCCAACAATGTATGCTTTCTCTGGTGATGTGACTGCAGAAGTCCAGGGCTTCCAAAGAACTGGATGTGGGTGTACCTACTCCCTTGATTATTTTGGGTAACTCTGGCAGAATTTATCATGTGAGTTTATGACTGTTCTCTTTATCAGGGATAACTATTGGTTTGGTGCTTGAAGAGACAGAGACTAACTTAACCCCTTTCTAAGGTCCTGGTCTTTGCAAGACCCACTGCGGGTGTGAAGGATCCTTTCTCAGGACCTACTGAAAAGTTTAAACGCACTTCAGTTTTCATAGATCAAGTGTCTCAAACTTTTACGATGCTCTGGTACCGCAGCTGCTCTGCAGAGTCTCTGTCCGCATCTTTCAGGGTTCAGGAAAGACCCATTCTGACCCCAAGCTCTTCTATTGTTTTCTTCTTTGTCTGGCATCCCAAATAGTGCAAAAACAGATAGATTTAGCTTTTTTCATGTTCCACTAACATCTCATCATAATGTCCCATTTACGTGGAGGATATACTCTGCTTATAACTGTTACCACAATTGGAATGTCCACAAGATGTATGGATAGAGTAGAGGGTCCATCGGGGGCACTTTGTCCAGTTCCCCCAAAGCAGGAGCTATCCCTGCTCTCCTGGGTTTTAGGAAAATGGCTGTGGGGGGCAGATGTTAACTCAGTCTGATGTATTCTTGGTTGTAATTGTGAAGAAGTGACTCCAGAATATTTCACATTTGCGGTGTCCTTTGGATTAGATTTCATAACTACACAACAGCCCCTGTTTAGTTAATATAATAATAATAATAATAATAATAATAATAATAATAATAATAATAATAATTTATTTCCAGACTGCCCTCTCTTCCCGGAGGGACTCAGGGCATTTTACACACAAAAAAGGCAAACATTCAATGACTCAAAATGGGTACAAACACATCAAAATAATACAGGATAATGGATAATCACAACAATAAATTTCCAATGAAAAAATTAAGCATCGAAATAAAAATAATTCAGGAACAGTGCATTGAAACATAAAAAACTAAAACATGAGTAAACATTACAATATACACTCTAAAACAGTGGTTCTCAACCTGGGGTCCCCAGATGTTTTTGGCCTACAATTCCCAGAAATCCTAACAGCTGGTAAACTGGCTGGGATTTCTGGGAGTTGTAGGCCAAAAACATCTGGGGACCCAAGGTTGAGAAGCACTGCTCTAAAAGCAAATTAAGAAACATTACATTAAAAATGGCTGGTATCGGTGCTTCATTTAAGATGTATCATAGCAGCCATATAATACAGATGGATTAGCCAACATTCCAGTGATTTAAAGTGTCCTTGTCCTCCTCCTCTCCATACACTAAAGTGTATAAGTGTTTTTAGGAGTTTCTTAAAGGAGAGGAGGGTGGGGGCCGTTTCTGTGCAGAACATTTGAGGAGCTGTTGGAGGAGAAGCAAAACAACTGCTCCTTAGCAACAGCTCATATTTTACCAACCAGAAAGTCTATGAAATTAAAAGAAAAGCTGCTTCTCTCTTTCAGCAGCTAGGTGGAGGTGATGTTTTAGAATGAAGAAGATGCAACTTCATTTCTCAAGGAATACTGAAATAGGGATTGTTGCCTTCTTCTCTGGAATGAATTCTTCTTCGGTAGCAACACTGTTATATGCTACATTTTTTATTTGGGGCCCACTATTACTATTTTAAAATATCATGTTTTCATTAACTCTTGATAAGGGTGGACACTAATATGCTCTCTGCTGTAACCAAAGAACATGTAGAATAAGATGATAAAAAGCATATAAGCAATAGAGATGGTTCAGTAGCTTTTTATTTTGAATATGGAAGCCAAATAGTGTTTTCTTAGCTCTTTGAATGTGCATTAATCAATGCCACATTAACTTTTAAAATATTGTTGGAATAGCAATCAATAATTGTGTTTTCAGATCTGGAACATAAGAAAGATAACCAACTAGAAAATCTGAGAAGTCATTATAGAATTATATTAAAATAGAAACCTATTATTTTGAAGTTGCCTTCTTTTCATTTTCTGCTCCAGTTGTGATGGATTGGAATGAGATATAAAGACAATGAGTTTTTTTCTGCTGCAGAACAAGACAGAAGCATAAATTAGATGTGCTATTAGCATCTTGTGTGGTTTACTGTAAAAAAATGATAAAATCCAAAATACCTATTGTTAACTTATGCTCATATAATTAGCAAATGTGTAAAAGCTGCCGTGATTGAGATAGAATTCATGAACTGCAAGACAGATGATTCATAGCAGAGCAAGTGAAAAGGTAAACATGTCACTCTGAAAAGGAACAGGAAAGGGAATCTGAAAAAAGGAGGAAGGAATGGATAACAGTGGAAATTTGTTTAACCAAATAGTTGCACGTTTGCTTCCAATCAACCAGAAATTGTCAACTTCAGTTGAAACGATGGTAGCAATTGAAATTATAAAAATGTGGTTTTTGTTATCAGAGTCTCTAACAAAAAAAACAAACAATTAAGGGTTTGCAAGATAAGCTTTAAGATCAACAGTTTCTTAAAACAGAATATTCAGTTAGATGGGTTTAAGTAGTGAAAATGGAAGCAGTCCCAGCATGAATACAAAACACAGGCCCTTCAATAAATAATTCAGATCACTTGGACTAAATGAACAACCCTGATAGAGTGGGGGTGGGGGGAGAAAAGAAAAAGGTATGTGTGGCTTTAAACTAGTATTGGGACATAAAATTTAGAAAGAGCTGAACTGCAGTGTTTCAAGACTTTCCATTAGAATCACTGAACACAAATAAATAGAAACCTTTCGGCCCTCCTTACCACACGATAGGAAAATATTTAAACTGACCATCAGGAATAGTGGAAGGGCAAAAACCACAAACAGTGGAAGAGATAGAAGAATGGTGTCAGGTGCAGAATGTGCCACTTTCGCTGCCATATTGCAACACAATATGCCTTGGAAAAAGGAAGTGTTACAAAAATAGAACAAAACATGGACAGAGTGAACACCTTTTGAAACTGTTCAGTGTCAGTTTGCCTTCCTGAGTTAAAATTGGTATCAACGCATGATCTTTGGACAGCTATTTTACAAAAATATAGAAGGGTTCTTGTGTAGTTCTGTGGGTATTTTCAAGAGGACACAATTGAAGATAAGAGACACTGGGAGTTTCAAATAGCTCTTGGCTCCGTAGAGAGGAAGGAGGGGCAGGAAAGGAAGGCTTCTTAAACAATGAGACATTATTGGAGAAGGGGCAAGGAGATTCTGTTAAAGTTTCTTGTTTTTTCTTTCGTTCAATGACTTTAAGGAGATAGTACTACAAGAAATGTGTGCACACAAAACTCCAGAATCATATACTAGGATTGCATGCATGAAGAGGCTGCTCTGAAAGAAGGGAATAGGAGTTGTTTTATGGAAATGCTGTTCATTAGAATTACAGGATGCTGAAGGCAGTCACGTTTACATTAAAAGTAAATTTGGAGTCTAATAACTTACAGTAGTTTCATATTATGCTAAGAAATCCAAACCAATAAACGGAATTAATGCACAAATCGTTTTCTACAGGAGATATCATCCTGTAGAAATACCATTCGTAATACTTTGTTTAACAAATCTTTTATTTTATTTTTTTAAAGGATGGGCATGAAAAAATATGTATTTTTTTGTAGAAATGGACTGAAATTGAAAGACATTGAAAATAAGATATCAAATTTGAAAGCAAATAAAACTGCAGTAATGGCTGTATTGGGAAATTCTATAAAATATTTGAATCCATTTTTCATTTCATAGAAGCACAAAGTCGGAAGAGACCACATGGGCCATGTGTGTTTTAATATGGTTGTATTTTGCCTATACTTCAGTATGTGTTTTTATAGATGTCTTTGACTATGTTGTGCCCTGCCTCGAGCCAAAAGGAGAGGCAGGTAATACATTTAAAAACTGTGTTTTTATGTTTTGTGTATATTGCTTTTTTTTTTGGTATTTTATTATGTTGTTGTTTGCGTTTTGGTTTTTATTTTATTGTATTTTATTTCATTGTAATTTGTTGTTTGGGCTTGGCCTCATGTAAGCCTCTCTGAGTCCCCATTGGGGGAGATTGTGGCGGGGTATAAATAAAGTTTTTTTTAAAATTATTATTATTATTATTATTTTGTTGTCGTTGTTATTAAAAAATATTTATATCTTAGCCCTATGTCAAACACCTTCTTAAAAGGCAAGCTTGGCTTCAGCATTTGGCAGGCAGTGGCATCAGAAGAATGATTCGGCAGTTCTCAAATTCAGGCCCAGTAAATGTAAAATAATAATAATAATAAAATGTAAAATAATAATAATAATAATAATAATAATAATAATAATAATAATAATAATAATAATAATGAGGAGGAGGAGGAGGAAAAAATATTTCTGAGATCATGAAGTTTAATTGTAGGTCAAGTAGAAATGTTTGTAAATAACATTTATCTGCATTTTCACATAGCTTTATATACTTGATTAAAATATAACATATGGTTTGTTTTTTTGGTTTTTTTTTTCAGGCCTATTATAGGTCCTGCTTTACCACCTGGATTTAAGAATGAAGAAAACAGAAGTTACATGGATCAGGTATGGATAGAAGTGCAGCACTTGAGATCTTCTGCACTGAAAATATTTGGACCAATATATCTATATTGAGGCCAAATAGGGTTGGCTATTTGGCATCTGTGAATTGCCATTAGAATCTGCAAAGGTTCTGGATGATGAGTGAAACTAGAGAAGTTTTTTTAAAGCTTGAAGCACTTCATGCAGTCTCTTTCTTTCCTCTGTTGCTGTTGTGGGAGATTTAATTTTCAAATGTATTTAGAAAAGCTTGGGATACACTGAACAGTACTGCATGTGCATGCAAACACAAACACATGTGTATTATATCTACAGCAAAAGAGCAAATAGGTCACTGCTTGTGGAGGCAAGCAATCTTTTATGAACCACTGAGCAGAAACATTATTGTGACCAATTTGGAATGAGTGCGTGGGATGGTATAAGAACGGAGCTATGAGTAAATTCCTAATCAAGTTTCATTTCTTGTAAACTTAAGCAGGTAATTGACTCAAGCCTATGCCCACTCACCCATTTATAGGATGTAAAAACTTCAGCTGTAAAATTGCTATTAAGATTATGATGCATGTGAAACTTTGAAGACTCTGGGGCAGAGTACCAAATACAGCTATTTAGCTGGTTGTATTAATGGAAATTGCTTTTATTTCATATTACAATGAAGAGTACAGACAGTGAAGAAGAAGAAGAAGCTGTGATTGGCCCAATGCCTCCTAGAGAGCCAGTAGACTCAAATATAACGACAGAAATCGAACACAGGGCACAGAGAATGAAAGAGAAACTTCTTGGTCAAGATGATGTAAGCTTATTTCTTGATTCATGCCTTTTTTTTTTTTAATGAGCAGAAGTACTTCTGAAAATCTGAAGGAAATACTGCTGCTTCTAATTCTACTTTCTGCTTATAGGATGGGTCCAAACAAGTTAAAAGGGAGTCTTGGATGACAGAGCTTCCGCCAGAGCTCAAAGGCTTTGGACTTGGCCCGCGAACATTCAAAAGAAGAACTGATGAAAAATCGGGAGATAGATCGATTTGGACAGATACTCCAGCTGATAGAGAGAAGAAAGCAAATGTAAGATTTCATTCATATGTATTAGTATATTACTGACAATCAACCTGTTACTGAAATTGAGTCAAATTATTTTAGTTTTTGGGTGGCACTGGCCAGCTATGTAAGATTCCAACAGAGAATTTTGTTTAACTTGCAGCTTGACAATGGATCTGGACCAAAATTGGCATACATACCCACCATGACCAATTTCCAATACTGTTGGGGGTAGAGGGAATGACATGGGATGATGGCAGTTGTAGTTCACCCACATCTAGAGAGCGCTATAAACCCCGCCAACTAATCTGGAACAAATTTATCACACATACTCAACATGACCAAGTTTAACTGCTGGCAGAATATTTGTTTGGGGGGGGGGGTTAGCCCAGGATGTTGGGAGATGTAGTTTACCCACATTAAGAGGACACTGTGAACCCCACCGGGGATGGATCTGGACCAAATTTGGCGCACATACCCAACATGGCCAACTTTAACTAGTGGTGAGGTTTCGGTGTGATGGACCCTGGATGATGGGAGCTGTCGTTCATCTAGCCCGACTTCCTCCTTTGAGAGCTGACTAGATCCTGGCCATGTGGGGGGGGGGGAAGGTTCCGGAGGAAGGGGGTGCCATCCGAGTCGTGTGGGGGAGGAGATTTGCGGGCCACAAACATCCCAGGGAGAAGCGCAACAGAGTCTTTGCGACCCTGGAAAAGGTGGGTAGTGGTAGGCTCCTTGGCAGCCCCCTTGGTCTCAAGGTCCTGTTGATTAATGCCAGATCCGTTAATGGTAAGACCGCGGCCATCCAGGACTTGATCCTGGATGAGAGGGCGGATCTGGCATGCATTACCGAGACCTGGCTGGACGAGCTGGGGGGTGTAAACCTCTCTCAGCTGTGCCCACCAGGTTTTGGTGTGCATCAGCAGGCCAGACAAGGGGGGCGGGGAGGAGGGGTCGCAGTAGTCTTTCGGCAATCCATCGCCGTGATCAGATGCGTTGTTCCGCAGGCTTCTGGGTTCGAATGTGTCCACTTGAAAGTGGGGAGCCGTGACAGTGTGGGGTTTCTGCTGGTGTATCGCCCACCTCGTGACCCAGCAGCTTCCCTGTCTGAGCTAGCGGAAGTGGTCTCTAATTCGGCCTTGGTCTCCCAGCGCCTGGTGGTGCTGGGAGACTTTAACATCCACGCTGAGACCACTCTATCTGGCGCAGCTCAGGACTTTATGGCCACCATGGCGACCATAGGACTGTCACAGATAATATCTGGCCCCACTCATCAAGCTGGACATACTCTCGACCTTGTTTTTGTGGCGGACAACGAAATGATCAGAGTGGAAGATCAAAACATCCTTCCAGTGTCATGGTCTGATCATCATCTGATCACTTTTAGACTTGCTGCGACTCTTAACCTCCGCAGGGGTGGAGGACAGATTAAAATGGTCCGCCCTAGGAGACTGATGGATCCGGATGGATTCCTGAGGAATCTTGGGGTTCTTCCTGCCTTGGAGCCTGGCGATTCTATCGACGCCTTGGTAGCTCTCTATAATGGGGAGATGTCCAGGGCGTTAGATACGATCGCACCCGAACGTCCCATCTCGTTGCGTCGTGACAGGCCATCCCCTTGGTTCACCGAGGAGCTGGCTGTGATGAAGCATACGAGAAGGGGGCTAGAGCGCAAATGGAGGAAATCTCGAGATGTATCTGATCGAGCACGGGCTAAAGCCTCCCTTAAGGCTTACTCTGTGGCTATACGGATGGCCAGGAAATCATTCACGACCACCCGTATAGCATCTGCAGCAAATAGATCATCGGAGATGTTCAGGGTCGTGGGAGAACTCCTCCACCCACCTGTGGCGGAGGAGGTTGCTGATGACCCTGCAGCTCGGTGTCGCGATTTCGCACACCATTTTGCAGGTAAAGTCGCCCAGATACGTCTTGAGCTTGACTCCAATTCCATCGCAGTGCCAGAAGAGGTGACGGAGGCACCTGCTTGTCCAATCTTGTGGGATTCTTTTAGGCTTGTTCTTCCTGAAACCGTGGAGGGGATTCTTGGGGCTGTGAGAGCGACCACCTCATCTCTTGACCCATGCCCATCTTGGCTCATTAAATCAGCCAGAGGGGGGTTGCTTGACTGGTTTGTACCAATTGTCAATGCATCGTTGGAGCAAGGAATTTTTCCATCTAATTTGAAACAGGCTGTGGTTCGCCCACTCCTCAAAAAAGCTTCCCTTGACTCCACGGTGCTGAGTAACTACAGACCGATCTCCAACCTCCCCTTTTTGGGTAAGGTGCTGGAGCGGGTGGTCGCCTCCCAGCTCCAGAGTTTCCTAGATGACACCAACTACCTAGATCAGTCACAGTCTGGTTTCAGGCCTGGTCATGGCACTGAGACAGCCTTGGTCGCCTTGGTGGATGACCTCCGCAGAGAGCTGGACAGGGGGAGTGTGACTCTGCTGGTTCTCCTGGACATCTCAGCGGCTTTCGATACCATCGATCATGGTATCCTTCTGGGCCGTCTCTCTGGGATGGGCCTTGGGGGCACGGTCCTGTCGTGGCTCCAGTCCTTCCTGGAGGGACGAACTCAGATGGTGAAGCTGGGAGACGCCTGCTCTGACCCCTGGCCTTTGACCTGTGGGGTCCCGCAAGGCTCTATTCTTCTCCCATGCTTTTTAACATCTACATGAAACCGCTGGGAGAGGTCATCCGGAGTTTTGGAGTTGGGTGCCATCTGTATGCGGATGACGCACAACTCTACTACTCTTTTCCACCTAATTCCAAGGAGGCTTCTCGGGTGCTGGACGAGTGCCTGGCCGCTGTGTCGATCTGGATGAGGAAGAACAAGCTGAAGATCAATCCCGACAAGACGGAGGTCCTCCTGGTCGATCGTAAACCTGATCGGGGTATAGGGTGGCAACCTGTGTTGGACGGGGTTACACTCCCCCTGAAGCCACAGGTCCGCAGTTTGGGAGTCCTCCTGGATTCATAGCTTATGCTTGAGGCTCAGGTGTCGGCGGTATCCTGAGGGCCTTTGCACAATTGAGACTTGTGCGCCAGCTGTGTCCGTACCTCGCAAAGGCTGATCTGGCCGGGGTGGTCCATGCCTTGGTCACCTCTAGAATGGATTACTGCAATGCGCTCTACGTGGGGCTGCCCTTGAAGACGGCTCGGAAACTGCAATTGGTCCAGCGGGCAGCAGCCAGGATGCTAACTGGAGCTCATTATCAAGAGAGGTCTACCCCTCTGTTTAAGGAGCTCCACTGGCTGCCATTTATTTTCCGAGCCCAATTCAAGGTGCAGGTGCTCACCTACAAAGCCCTGAACGGTTTGGGACCACCCTACCTGCGTGACCGCATCTCTATCTACGAACCCACACGCTCGCTCCGGTCATCTGGGGAGGCGCTCGTGATCCCACCTACGTCACAAGCGCGCTTGGTGGGGACACGGGATAGGGCCTTCTCCGTGGTGGCCCCCCGACTCTGGAACGCCCTTCCAAAAGATCTCCGACAGGCCCCTACATTAGCAGTTTTCAGAAGGAATTTGAAAACTTGGTTGTTCCGTTGTGCCTTCTCGGATTAGGAATCCCCATCCCAAGTCCTAGTAGCACTTTAGTACAATTAACATTGCTGCACACCACACTTTTAATTCCCTACGCCCCTCCTGCCATCTCAGCACTTTTAACCCTGTACCCCTTTACGCCGGCCGAACCAGTTTTAATATGTCTTGATGTATTGTTATTGCTGTTTTTGCTTAATTGTTGATTTGCTTTGTTATTGCTATGTTATGTTTTCTTATATTGTGTTTGTGGCTTCGGCCTGTGTAAGCCGCATCGAGTCCTTCGGGAGATGCTCGCGGGGTACAAATAAAGTTAATAATAATAATAATAATAATAATCTATATGCGAAGAGCACTGTGAACTCCACTGACAATGGATCTGAATCAAACTTGGCACATATACCCAACATGATCAACTTTAAATACTGGTGGGGTTTGGGGGGAATTTTCCCAAGATGATTGGAGTTGTAGTTCACACACATCCTTATGCATTTTCTAATGGGGCTATTCATAAAATGCAAACTCAAACGACGACTATTTCTAATAAAAAGGTAAAGATTTGTCCTGACATTAAGTCTAGTCATGTCCGACTCTGGGGGTTGCTGAAGAGCCGGCGTTTTCCATAGATGCCGGCGTTTTTCATGTGGTGGCATGAAGGCATAGAATTTCGTTACCTTCCCACAGAAGCAATACCTATTGCTCTACTCACATTTGCATGTTTTCAAACTACTAGGTTGGTAGAAGTTGGGGCTAACAGTGGGAGCTCGCCCTGCTCCCTGGATTCGAACTGCCAACCTTTCAGTCAGCAAGTTCAGCAGCTCAGCAGTTTAACCTGCTGTGCCACCAGGGACCATTCATAAAACATAAACGCAAACAATGACTTTCTAATATTTATCATTTAAATAATACCTAATCTGGAGGGGGGGGGGAGAGAGAGAGAAAGATCAGGGGCTGAGCAGAGTCTGTCTGTCTCTCTTAAGCAAGTCCAGTGGCAACAAGGCTGAACCCCAACTGCCTCTTGTTCCGGGACAAAAGCGTGAGGAGGGCATTTAAGGCTAGGTGAGAATTGCAGTGTGCACTTTTGAACCCTAGAGGGCTCTGTGATATAACAGCATGTGAATAGGCTGGAGTAGCTGTGTGCCAAGAAAAAACAAACAATTTCCTTTTCCTCTTTCCTTTTAAATGTTGCTGGCATTTAATAAACAACATTTCTTGTTCCCTTATGTTAAAACTTTGACACACAATTGTACTTTAAGACCTCAGAAGCCACTGTGTAAGCTACACTTACACAATGAATATTCCTGTGTAGTGTTCTGCATTTACATTTATAATACTTTATTCTCATACTGCCCTTTATCTTCACTGTTGCCATGTAATGTATGCACTTTATTTATCAGTCCTATCCTCGCAATTGTTTATGCACCAGTCCGCCCACCTGTACCCAGAAACCTATTGTTACCATAGAGCTCATTGTTGTTGGTTGATGTTTGCTGTAATGTTGTTGTTTTATTTTTTTATGTTGCCATTATGTATTTTAATGTACTGTTCGGGCTCATCTCCATGTAAGCTACCCTGAGTCCCTTTGGTGAGATGGAGGCGGGGTACAAAAATAAAGTTGTTGTTGTTATTGGATTTTTGCAAGGAAAAAACCCAGATTTTTTTCCCAGGATAGATATGGCTGATACGTTTAGTTTTTAAAAAAAATAGATCACCTTTGATACCTACTAATCAATTGCTTTTCTCTTAATTATCAGGAACTGAAAGATGGCAAAAAACCTGTCAATAAGGATGAGGCAGAAATACTCTTTTCAGAGAGAGACAAAAGATTGGTCGAGCAATTGTCCTCATACAATGTATGTATTATGTAGAATTTCTGCCCTTTCCACACAGTGATGTTGGTATTTGTGGGAATATTTCTGATTCTAATATATAGTATCTTTTTTTTTGTTGAAATCTTACTTTCAACAAGATCATGATTGTGCAATAAGAGCTGGTTGAATCTTTCACAATAGAACGTTTTTTTCCCCAGTGAGTCTATAGAATTTAAACAATGCACTTAGAATTCCCACTGCAGGAAAACTTCCATTACTGTGATCCAGAGTGGAGACACAATATGGCCCCATCTACTCTACCTTATGATGCAGTTTGAAACCATTTCTGCATATAGAGAGATGACCTGATGATCTTGTTACATGATTGAAGCTTCATTTGTTTTTCAAAAACAATAAGGGATAACAGTGCTTTGGGATTAATAGAAGGATGAATCCAGATAGGACAAAAATTGCACTCTGTGATCTTTCATACATTCATTGTCCCTTTAAAAGCACAGAGAAGAGTGAACATAGCATCTTTTGGTTAACATTTCTCCCTTTTAAACTTCCCTTTCCTTTAACATACTATTCATTTATATCATTTCCCATATTATTTCTTACCCAGGATTCTCAGAGATCGGAATCTCTTATGGATATGCACCAGAAAAAATTAAAAAGCAAAGCCGCAGAAGAAAAGGATAAACCCAAAGAGAGAAGGCCTTTTGACCGTGATCAGGATCTCCAAGTTCATCGGTTTGATGAAGCACAAAAGAAAGCGCTTATAAAACGATCTAGAGACTTGAATACTAGATTTTCCCATGGCAAATGCAATATGTTTCTGTAATAAAAAATATGAGATGATACCAAAGTATAGTTGGGGACTCTCAAATCTCAAATACAAAAAAATGCTCTGTATATACAACATATACATGTGAAGTACATTTCATTTCAATCAAAAATCTGAAACCTATTCAGAATGCCTATAGTCTGTTCAGTTACTTCAGAAACAGATAAAAGATGTATGATTAATCGTCTAAAAGCTTTCTGAAAGTAATAGTCCTATTAAAATGAGCAATCAAATAAAAAATATTCACAGTTGCTCTCCTAAATACATTTTGAGAAAATAATTGTCTCTAGGTCAAATTTCTGGTTCGATTATGGAGTTGTTCACGTTTGGAATGAAAAGTTAATGGGTCACTATTCCAATATTCAAAGACTAGGCCTGATAAATGGGGGAGATGGAGAAATTGATATTGGAAATAAGTAGAAAGCCAGTCTTATTTGTGAAAGAATGAAAAGTCACAATTGCTGTCTGTTTGTGTGTTTACAGTAAAGTGAATGTATAGTTATACTTTAAAGCATACTATCTTTTAAAACCACGACTGGGTGGAATCGGCCCCTTGGGCCATGTGCTTTTTTGCAACTAATCTCTGGAGCCGACATTCTTGAAAAGCCTCCAAGAGGCAGGAATTCGTCATTTCATTAAACTGCAGGTCTCGGTTGCATTTTTTGACATTTTAAATAATTGTCGAAGGCTTTCATGGCTGGAATTATTGGGTTGTTGTAGGGTTTTTGTTTTTTGTTTTGCTATATGGCCATGTTCTAGAGGCATTCTCTCCTGACATTTGGCCTGCATCTATGGCAAGCATCCTCAGAGGTAGTGAGGTCTGTTGGAACTTCAACCAGAGAAGTCAGCTATAGCAGAGCACCTGATGAACCAACCTGGACACAGCATATTATTTGAGAACACAGAAATGCTGGACCACTCTAACAACCACCATGTCAGACTACACAGAAAAGCCATTGAAATCCACAAGCATGTGAACAATATCAACAGAAAGGAGGAAACCATGAAAATGAACAAAATCTGGCTACCAGTTTTAAAAAAAACTCTAAAATTACAACAGAAAAACAACAGAGAGGAAACAATCAGGGACATCTAATCACCTCTCAACAAAAGATTGCCCCAGGAACTGCCAGGCCATCAAATGCTAATCAAGGTGGTCAGTTGAAACATTAACACCTAGCTCCAACAGACAAGAGTTCTTTGTCCCACCCTGGTCATTTCACAGATATATAAACCCATTTTCCTAGATCCAACAGACCTCACTACCTCTGAGGATGCTTGGCATAGATGCTGGCGAAATGTCAGGAGAGAATGCCTCTAGAACATGGCCATATAGCCCGAAAAAAACCTACAACAACCCATTTTAAATAATTGTTTTCAAAATGTTGTTTTGGGTGTATCTGTTTTGGCACATTTGGCAATCAGTGGAAACTTGTATCTATCCTAGGAGCAGGATAGATAAAAGTTACTTGCTCTTGTTTTACACCAGTTGTGCCCATACAGTGGTCACCTTTCATTCATAAAATGAGTAAGACTGTGAATAAGAGACAGAACCATTAATTGGCTTAATCTGGATGTAATTAGAAAAGTCTTGCACTCAAGAGTGTGCTACTTTTCCACTAATTTCCAGTGGTTCTCAACCTGTGAGTCTCCACCTTCAACTCCCAGAAATACTAACAGCTGATAAACTGTCTGGGATTTGTAGGAGTTGTAGGCCAAAACACTTCAGGACCCACAGGTCGAGAACCACTGAGTTAGAGTGTTTGTACTTCTCAAATGGATTTCTGCATTTATCTTTGCCTATTACTCTAGCTTTCCAAACTTCTCCCTCTTCGGATCACTGTTCTACTATCTGGAATATAAATTGCAGCCAATAGGATAGCATGAAACTGAATTTCTGTCTACATCAGTGGTTCCCAACCTTTGGTCCTCCGGGTGTTTTGGACTTCAGCTCCCACAATTCCTAATAGATGGTAAGCTGGGTGGGATTTCGGGGAGTTGAAATCCAAAACAACTGGCGGACCAAAGGTTGGGAACCACTGGTCTACGCAGTTTATCTTAAAGATGCAGAAGCCCAAACTATTCACACTTTTTCTTGCAAAAATGGAAAAAGTCTCATTACAACTTCATCAGTTTCACAGCTGTCATCATTTGTTTACAGTGAGAGGAAGGCAAACTAGGATGACACAATCATCCTAACAATAGTAGTAATGTGAACTTGCCACAGTTGCTTTATAACTTTGTGTAAGAGACTCCCACATTACTACCTACTCAGCAGGGTCCCTCCTCTACAACTACATCACTGTTTATAAATATCCATTAAAATATTAGGCAAACAGTACTTGTCTGTGTGGTGTATGTAATATGTAAATAAAAGTGGTAATACTGTCTCTACAATTACAAAAGTCATTCATTTTGTCTTGTGAAAGTAGTTGATATGTCATGGCGTTATGTTGGGGACATAAGAGAATCATTTCATCCACATATATAATACCATGAATAAAGCCAAGATTGTCGTTAAGATTGTGCTAATGAGATAAAACAAGACAGGGCAGAAATTCCAGACAAAAATATGCTTAGAAAGAATATTGCTTTTCCAAAATGATTCTCTTATGTCCCCAACATAACACCATGACATATCTTTAGGGACAGATAAATGAAACTCTTCCAATTAAAAGGAAAATAATATCTTAGCCGTGAATGTGGACAAGAAAGAGTTAAGAGCTGCCAAAGCTGTAATGCCAAGTTCAGGGCCTGGAAATAACTCATAAAATTAATTCATTATTCATAGTCAATGTATTTTTAACAACAATATCAGACTTTATAAGTTTAATCATTCATAACACCTACACTGTTGCTTGTTAATTTGGGGGTGTTAATTTAAGATGAAGTTGTATATTTTTAATTTGCTTGTTAAAAGCTTAACATGTTCCTACTTTATTATTAACCAAACATTTTTAAATTTGTTTATTTTTAATTTGAAATATTTATAAAGCTATATATTTAAATTTACTTTGATTATTAATGAATTAATGTCTGGATTAATATAAATACCAGTCAATATGTTAATGTTTCTATTTTTGGAAGCGCTGACAAGACACAAATGAAGCCTGAATGTTAAGGGATGTCAAATTATCTTGTGCATCAAGGTACTAAAGATATTCAGGGGCAGCCATGTTGGCAGTGCAGCAAAAAATGACAAAATCCGCAAGCAGCAATACCTTTTTTTGCCAGCTCCAAAGCATAAAGTGCATTACACAAACCTTTTGAACTTTCACTGCCTTCATCAAGCAAAGATTTCAAAAATCATAAAAGATAAAAATGGTAATGGTTAGAGTCACAGGTCTACTTTCTGTCTGAAGTATCAGCAAAAATGGTATTCAGATTTCAGTGCAGGTGCTGAAAGTTAAGGTAACCTTGTGAGGCAGGTGGCTAGTCATCACCTGTCTCTGCCATCAACCTGGTCTTGTTCAATGTTGTTGTCTAATCGTTCAGTTGCTTCTGACTCTTCCTAACCTCATGGACCAGTCCACACCAGAGCTCCCCATTGGCAGTCACCATGCCAACTCCCTCAGAGTCAAGCCAGTCATTTCAAGGATACCATCCTTCCATCTTGCCCTTGGTCTGCCCCTCTTCCTTTTTCCTTCCATTTCCCCCAGCATCATTGTCTTCTCTAAGCTTTTCTGTCTCCTCATGATGTGGCCAAAGTATCTCATCTTTGCCTCTAATATCCTTCCTTCCAATGAGCAGTCAGGCTTTATTTCCTGGAGTATGGACTGGTTGGATCTTCTGGCGGTCCAAGGCACTCCCAGAACTTTCCTCCAGCACCACAGTTCAAAAGCATCTACCTTCTTTCGCTCAGCCTTCCTTATGGTCCAGCTCTCACATCCGTAGGTTACTACAGGGAATACCATTGCTTTGACTATGTGGATCTTTGTTGCCAGTGTGATGTCTCTACTCTTCACTATTTTATCGAGATTGGTCATTGCTCTTCTCTCAAGAAGTAAATGTTTTCTGATTTCCTGGCTGCAGTCGGCATCTGCAGTAATCTTTGCACCTAGAAATGCAAAGTCTGTCACTGCCTCCACGTTTTCTCCCTCTATTTGCCAGTTATCAATCAGTCCGGTTGCCTGAATTTTGGTTTTCTTGATGTTTAACTGCAACCTGGCTTTTGCACTTTCTTCTTTCACCTTGGTTAGAAGGTTCCTCAACTCCTTGCTTTCGGTCATCAAAGTGGTATAATCTGCAAGTTAATGCAGAAAGAAGTTGATCCTACTGGAAGGGATTGCTGAAGCTGCTGCCCCATGGAGCAGTTGCTGGCATTATTAAGGAACTATCCAATTAGGTATTCATGCGCCTTCAAGTTCCTTTAACTATACCAATCACGTAACTTTCGTAGAGTTTTCTTAAGAAAGGAATACTCAGAGGTGGTTTTGCCAGCTCCTTCCTCAGAAGGTTAGCTGACAGCTCCTGGTATGTGTTGGTGTTTTCCCATTCATTTATTATCCAGAGCTGATCCTGCTTAGCTCCCAAAATCAAATAAGATTTTGTACCTTAAGGTGACAAATTATTAGCTATTTAATTCTTTTCCCCCTGCCTCAGAATGAGGGAATCATTTTTAATTTTATTTCTTCAAGTATGAGAATTCCTTAGGCCAGTCTTTCATGCATGGACAATCTGTTATAATCACCCAACAGTTTTAATTTAGTTTCCAAGGAAACATATTTTCTGTGACCCAGGTTAAATTAAATACGGATTTAGAGATTTAAAAAGTAGACCAAACTATTCATTGCAGGTGTAAGAAGGAATGTTAGGCTTATCTATATAAATAATAATGTAATGTTAATTTCTGGGATTAACTTAACTAAAAAACCACTGGACAAATTGACACCAAATTTCGACACAATACATCTATCAGGCCAACGAGTGACCATCACTCATCAAAACACTGAAAAACACAGCAGAAGAGACTTAGAAAGCCAAAAAAGAAAAAAAAATACATTACACTGCATGTGCAAAACCACATATATACACAAACACACATATATACACAGATACACAAATATATACACACACATATATGCATATATACACACACATATACACAGACTGGGCCACAGCAACGCGTGGCAGGGGACGGCTAGTTTAAATATAAACATAGGACAGTTAAGTACATCAGGGGTTAATACAGCAACCTTAATTCTTCATTGAAATATAAAAATTTAACTGGTACAAAGAGCAGTCTGTTATAGACAGTCCATTTGTTGATTAGAATTAAAATAATTAAGGACAGAAA